GGCAAATCCTGCTTAGGACCATGATAGTGCACAAAAACACCGATTAATGCCACGCAAGAAAAGCAGCAAAGCATCAGCACAAATAGCAGAAATGTGATTATACCAAGATACAGCAATACCCAAGACTGTTGGTAGGGCCAGAGAATGAAAGCCTCCCCCCCCCAACTGAAGCCGACTCCCACACAAGGTTTTACAAGTCTGGGCGCTGCAAATTTGGGGTCCTTAGGTTGGGAAGGAGGGGGCCAGGTGGGGGGGGGGAGGTCCTTACATAAACCCCTAAACCTCAGCTTTGTAGCACCCAACATTTGCGGCTCTTGAGCCGACGTCCTGAGAGTTGGATCACGGCGGTGATGGCAACGGAGACGGCGTAGACTAGGGCTTGCGACATGGCTACTAAGTTGCAAAAGGCTTGAGACCTGCACGGGAAGCTGTTGGGGTTTAGGGTTTAGGGCTTAGGGCTTAGGGTTTAGGGTTTAGGGTTTAGGGTTTAGGGCTTAGGGTTTAGGGTTTAGAGTTTAGGATTTAGGGTTTAGTGCTTAGGGCAAAACAGATCCCGAACCGATTTTTCATCCTAAGCCCCCAGGCATCGGCATCATCCAACGCCACAACTGCCCCCAAACCCCCCCAAGCCCCAAACCCTAAACCCAAACCCCAAACCCCAAACCCTAAACCCTAAACCCTAAACCCTCAACCCTAAACCCTAAACCCTAAACCCTAAACCCTACACACTCTCTAGCACCTCAGAGTCCCCCAAGAACCTGAAAAGTTCTGAGAAGAAGGCGGCACAGCACGGGCGGGGGGGGCGGACTTCTTCTTCTTCTTCGACGGGGAGGTGCCTGCACCATTCTCCTGCACACCGCCCAGCGTTCTTTTTTTTCTAGCCCTAAACCCTAAACCCTAAACCCTAAACCCCAAACACTAAACCCCAAACCCTAAGCCCTAAACCCGAGTTTCTAAACCTTCTCAAAACACGCACAAGGGTCCTCCTCCTCCTCAGCAGCCTGCTCAGCTGCTGCCGGAGCAGGGTCTGCATCCTGTTGAGGGTTCAGGGTTTAGGGTTTAGGGTTTAGGGTTTAGGGTTTAGGGTTTAGGGTTTAGGGTTTAGGGTTTAGGGTTAAGGCTTAAGATTTAAGGCTTAGGATTCAGGGTTTAGGGTTCAAGGTTTGGGCTGGGGCTTTAGGGTTTAAAGGCTTCGGGCTTTGGGGAACAAGGGTTTCTTCCTGTCAAATGGCCGGGGGGCGGGGGGGGGGGGCTGGTGTGCTAATTCAGGGTGCTTGTTTGGAGAGCTTCTTTGTTGTGAGCGATTCCTCTTTATCATGCGACTGTACCTTGGACCTTGGGTTTGGGGACCCTTTTCGCAGATCCTCTCAGGGAATATACACACTCTTGGCCCCGAATCCTACATCCCAAGCCCTGAACCCCTAGATCCGAAACCCTGAGACCCTACAACTTTAACCCTGAAATCCTGCAACCCTGTAACCCTGTAACCCCGTAACCCTGTAACCCTGTAACCCTGTAACCCTGTAAACCCTGTAAACCCTGTAAACCCTGTAAACCCTGTAAACCCTGTAAACCCTGTAAACCCTAAACCCTAAACCCTAAACCCTAAACCCATGGGGGGGCGCTTCTTGCGATTGAAGGCCTCCTCCTCGGCGTCCCCTCCGTCAGCCGCGTCCTCCTCACCTGCACGTTGAGACTGCTTTAAACTGTAGGGCTTTAGGACTAAACCCCAAACCCTAAACCCTAAACCCCGAACCCTAAACCCTAAACCCCAAACCCTAAACCCTGCTTTTGTTGTTTGGCACCCTGCAGCTCGGAGGGCTTGGGGTTGGGGGGTGTATACAATGAGAGGTATACTCCAGCAGAGAAACCCTAAACCCTGAACCCTGAACCATGCTGATTGCAAAGGCCACTGATACATCACTGGTACCAAAGGCTAGCCGCGCTTACATGGTTTAGGGCTTAGGGAATTGACAGAGAGAGAGAGAGAGAGAGAGAGAGAGAGAGAGAAAGAGAGAGAGAGAGAGAGAAAGAGAGAGAGAGCGAGAGAGAGAGAGAGAGAGCGCTGGCCTTGTTTTGCCTTCTTCTTCTTGTTCCTTTGCGACGTGGGGCATTGGGGGGGCGGCTTGGGAGTTGAGGGTTGAGGGTTCAGGTTTAGGGTTTAGGGTTTAGGGTTTAGGGTTTCGGGAAAAGGGGGTAGGGTTTAGGGTTTAGGGTTCAGGTTTCAGGGTTTAGGGTTTAGGGCTTCAGGTTCAGGATGGCCTGGGGGTGGGTTTAGGGTTTAGGGTTTAGGGTTTAAGGTTTAGGGTTTAGGGTTTACGGTTTAGGGTTTAGGGTTTAGGGTTTAGAGTTAGGGTTTAGGGTTTTTTAGGGGGTTTAGGGGGTTTAGGGGGTTTAGGGGGTTTAGGGGTTTAGGGGTTTAGGGGGTTTTTAGGGGGTTTAGGGGGTTTAGGGGGTTTAGGGGGTTTAGGGGGTTTAGGGGGTTTAGGGGGTTTAGGGGGTTTAGGGTTTAGGGCTTGGGGGTTTTGGGCAAGCTTGGGTGTCTGGAGCTAGGAGGCCATACTGCCGTCGTTCAGCGACTGATGTTCGCTGAGGCTCTTCTTCTTTTTCTTCTTCTCCTCAGCCACCTCCAAGCGAACTTGCAAGCCGTGAGTGTTCAGGGTTTAGGGTTTAGGGTTTAGGGTTTAGGGTTTAGGGTTTAGGGTTTAGGGTTTAGGGTTTAGGGTTTGGGGTTTAGGGCTTAGGGTTTAGGGTTTAGGGTTTAGGGTTTAGGGTTTAGGGCTGAGGGCTTAGAGTTTAGAGTTTAGGGCTTAGGGTTTGGGGTATTCGACATTGCGCACCTCCGCCCCTTCCACCACTTCCGCCGCCTCCACCTCCGGCTTCTCCGTCTCGTCCTGGGATAGGGCTCGCAACCCTAAACCCTAAACCCTAAACCCCAAACCCTAAACCCTAAACCCTAAACCCCAAACCCTAAACCCCAAACCCCAAACCCTAAACCCCAAACCCTAAACCCTAAACCCTAAACCCCAAACCCTAAACCCTAAACGAGCAATATCCAGGACCCATGTTTGCAGACATCCTTCTTCCTTGTGGCACCCTAAAGAGAGGCCCACATCCTGAACCCTACAGCCGAAAAAAAGTCCCGCAGCATGTTGGTCCCAAACGTTTAGGCTTCAGGGTTTAGGGTTTTAGGGTTTCGGGTCTAGGGGTTTAGGATAAAAGGTTTAGGGGTTTAGGGTTAAGGGTTGAAGGGTTCGGGCTTAGGGTGTTGCAGCGAAAGGTGGGGCCAAATGTGACAACCCTAAACCCCTAAACCCCTAAACTCCTGAAAACCCCTAAACCCTAAACCCGTATACCCGACACCTGAAACCCTAAACCTAAACCCTAAACCCTAAACCCTAAACCCTAAACCCTAAACCCTAAACCCTAAACCCTAAACCTCGCAGAGTGGCTTGCAAGTGCCCGCCAGTGAAGCCCGTCATGGCCAAAGAGGCGGGCCCTGCCAGGGCTTCAGGGGTTACTCTCAGCGTATAAATCCCAAACCCTAAACCCTAAACCCTAAACCCCAAACCCCAAACCCTAAACCTAAACCCCAAACCCTAAACCTAAACCCTAAACCCTAAACCCCAAACCCTAAACCCTAAACCCCAAACCCTAAACCCTAAACCCCCAAGAGGGTTTTCCGGATTGAGGGAGTTCAGTCCTGGGGACTTGTCGAACGAGGCAGCCGCTGTGAGAAATGGGCCTTTTCAACCCGACTGAGTTCCCCTTCTCTCCTTTTTGTCTTTTTAGTTGGGGGGGGAGGGTTTAGGCTGTGATTCTATGAATTATTATGTTGAGGTAGAAAGGGGGCTCTAGTTTTGGAAACCCCACCGAAGAGAACCGACGTCGCCGAAGATGCAAGGCTGTTTAATGGTTTTGGGCATGTAGCCTGCGCGAAACCCCATATAAACCCTAAACCCTAAACCCTGACCCGCAAACTCCAAGGCCCACGGCACGGCACGAAAACAGTTCACACCTGAACATGGTCCCTGGGTGTTTTAGGGTCCTAAACACTAAACTTGGGATGTTCCCCCCGTTAACTAACTGTCCTTAATCGGGATTATCGTACCCCCTATTACAATCCCTATTAAGGACTGTTAGCACAAGGGGGAACATCCTAACACTAAACCCTAAATACTTTCTGGGTCCCTCGCGCCTGCCCCCAAACGTGCGACGATGGTGTCTGCTTCAAAGGTGCGACGAGGGTGTCTACAACAACTCTTGATCCGAGATGACACGGCTTGGTAAGACCCACGCTCTGCACACGCTTTTGGGGTTTCGGGTTTAGGGTTTAGGGTTGGTGTTCAATGTAAAGTCCCAGGATTGGGTGCTGAAGTTGTTGTCCATCGTCAAGGGATTTTGGCTTCACCCCCTTCGAAATCACGACATCTCAGATGTCTCCTTGTACATGTCTACCATTGGAGACACGCTTTGGCGCAAAACCACCTGGTGTCAATACATTCTGCCATTAGAATAAAAGCAAATGTGGACCTACGAACCATATCATACCGCGAACTACATGCCGAGCAATGATTTCAAGACTAGGAATGTCACTTGATTTGCAACGTCGCCTCCTGAAACCGCTCTTTGCCAACAAGTTTTGCTGCTTCGACCAGATGTATTTGGATGATGTTGCGGAAGTGTGCGTACAGACCACGCACCCACAAAATGGACCTGCAGATTTCCAGCAAGTCAAGCCACCCAGGCTGCGCAAGATTTGGGTACTGTTGCGGAGGTCGGCGTACGGACCGCGCGCAACACCAAATGGGTCTACAGTTGCGCAGGCTGTGCAAGGTTTGGGTACGGTTGCGGAGGTCTGCTTGCGACTACGCTCAACACAAAATCGAAGAAAGTGTCGCAACTTCCCGTAATTCGACAGCAGCGGCCTGAAGCCGAAGCTGTCAGCTTTGCAAAAACTGCACGGAAAATGCGCCAGGCTCACATCCAGCCTGCCTGATTCAGGCTCGGACCCGCACCTGGTCAAACGTCCATGACCGTTTCTTCTGGGTGTTCTTCTGGATGTGGGCCATGTTTCGCCTGGGACGCGCGGGTAGACGTTTTCAATCGAGCAGATGCGCCTTCGGGTATTCCTACAAATGGGTATGGGCTGCCCCATGACAACACAGACAAGCAAGCAAGAAAAGCAAAAGCAGCATCGCTTACAGACCACGCGTACTAGGGGTCCCAGGGGTGTCCCGGGTCCCATGGGGTTTCCAGGTGGGACACTTTGCAGAGCATGTTGTGCAGGTGGGACTGTTTCTGGCACTTCAACAAATCCTGTTCCAACATTCTCTTTTGTGTGTTTTGGCCCGACCCTGACCTCGATCTGGCCGACGTGTCTTCCCCCATCTTCCGGCGCATCGGCGACGGGCTCACATGGTCTGGTGGCGGCTCCTCGCCTTCCCCCTTTGCGGTACTTTCCACGAAAGAAGACCGCTGCGAGACAACAGCAAGCAACCAAGGCTGCAACCAGCATCGGCCCCGAGAGGTGGCGATGAGGTCGTGGATGTGCTGGATGTGCTGGTCACTGCTGCCGTCACTGACGAGCTGCTTGTGAAAGTTGCGGAGCTCATGGTGAACGTCGAACTTGTGGAGGTCACAACTGGTGCCAGTTGAAGTTGTAGAGCTCATGCTGGTACTGGTCGAAGTTGTGGTAGGGCACTTCCCGACCGTCCAGAAGTAAGTGCATCCCGCATATGTACGGTTGGGTAGTACGGTTGGGTATGGCGTCCCCTAGTGTACAAAGGTTCGGGTTGTTCTTCATCCAACACGTTTCAGGCTCATGGCACTTCGAAAATGCATTGCACCCGGTCGTGTTTTCGCATACTTTCCGCACATTCTCCAGGCGTGCCGTCATCTGCGCTTGTCGTTAGGTTGAACGCAAAGCTGCCAAGATCAGTGCCTTCATCGTCGAAGACAATGTCCTGGCCAATCAATGCCCACACCAGGAGAGCGGCCATTGCGGATACCGAGATGGGGGGGACTGCTAAAGCCTGTGATCAAAGTGATCAGGCCGAGGGCATTGCAAACCAAGGCACAGAGTGTTTAATTGACATTCATCATCTCTCTTAAACATCAAGATTAGCAATGATGTTAAATAAGCAAGTGTACATGTGAGTCAAGGAAAACGGGAGTCGACCATATGGAGAACAGATATCTTGTCTTCACCAACAAGTTCTCCCAAAGACTCAAATATCTAAACGTTCTTACAGACAAGGGCACGTGACGCGCATCGGTATACGAGACCCTCTGAACAAATTCATCGACCCACACCAACCCCAACTTGTTCAAAGAATCAAACAGAGACGCAAAACCAAAAAAAACGAAGAAAACTCAACAGATAAAAAGGTGTGCATATATGTGTATACATACCTACGTCGAAGAACAAAACAACCCGTCTGTCCATGAAGCACCAAAGCACCTGATGGTATTGCGAGCTCCATAACATACAGCCACAAATAATGCGTGTACAAAGTCTGGAGAACCAGGGCCATATCTACTTGGATCAGAGCCATTGGAGACAGATTTAACTTGGCCTGGCGGACCATAATTCTTCCAAAATTTAGTTGAACATTGCTTGATGAAACCGTCCGCAAACGCATGTTAGGCGATCGGCAATGTGGTTTCCGAGTCGCGATGCGAGCTGTGGAGAATTTGCTTGCCAGACCAGTTTGTCAGGCTGCGCATGAGGTGTTCACCGGTGTGGTTCTGTCGCGGAGGTCCGAATTCGGAGCTCGAATTCGGACCACGCATAAATCAAGTCGGAGGAAACATGTCGCAATTTCAAGCAAACCGCAATGGCCCTAGGTCGAAGCTGTAAACGATGCAGCACGCGCAGTACCGTTACTGCTGGTCTGCGGCTCACGTCTGACCTGCCCGATTCAGGCTCGGACCTGGGCCTCGTCAAATGTCCACGCCGACCATTTCTTCTGGACGTTCTTCTGGACGTTCTTCTGGATGTTCTTCTGGATGTGAAATATATAAAAATATATATACTATGTATTATATTATACCATATTATATTATGTTATATTATGTTATACTATGTTATACTATATTATAGTATATTATAGTATATGATAGTATATTATCGTATATTATAGTATATTATGGTATATTATAGTATATTATAGTCTATTATATTATATTATGGGTCGTTTGCAGCCTGGGACAACCCCGCACCCAGTGTGGCATAGCAGATCGCGCAGTGGCGGCTGGCTCCGGTCGGCTTGCAGATCAAAATGTCCGACATAGCCGGCACCAGAAGGACGTTGAAGCTGGTGATTGTGCAGCCCACCACACTTTCCAATGCCTCAATCTGGTCGGCGAAGTACACAGGCACAGAAGAACTGGCAATGACCAGAGGGCCAGCACTCTCAGTGGGGCACAACACTCCTAAGGCCCGTCCATAAGCATTGCCCAAAGGTCGCGCCATCCACACACCAGCACCTTGAGCTCACCTCAGGGATGAGCAGGTGGCTACGCTTCAACTGGTTGATATCCATCCGAGATCCAATGCACACATTCTGCTTAAACATCTTAAACGGGCTTAGGGTTTAGGGTTTAGGATTTAGGGTTTAGGGTTTAGGGTTTAGGGTTTAGTGTTTAGGGTTTAGGGTTTAGGGTTTAGGGTTTAGGGTTTAGGGTTTAGGGTTTAGGGTTTAGGGCTCTCCTGCGTGGGCGGAAGGGGAGTCTGTCCATGTACTCCGTGAAGATGCAGCCCGCTGACTCTCCGTTCGCCGAACAACCTGTGGTCCGCGAGGTTGGTGACTAGGCAGTCCTGCCAGGTTCTCCGTGCCTGCAAGGAGGATGAGCTTCAGATCTTCGGGTCCAGCCCATCATGCAGAGGAACCCTAAACCCTAAACCCAATAGGGCATACAAGGCCTGCCTTGCCATCCTCTAGGTGCTTAGAAGTTGGGACCCGCAGAGAAATGATTTAGGGTTTAGGGTTTAGGGTTTAGCGTTTAGGGTTTAGGGTTTAGGGTCTACGCTATTGGGTTTATAGGGTTGTGGGGTTTGTAGCGTCTGTAGGGTTTAGGTTTAGGGTTGATGCAGGGCACAAGCCTGGCCTTCATCTAGAACAAGATCCACCGCTCGTTGGCCTGACGTCTCGGCACCATGCACTGCAGCCAAGGCAGCAGGATCTTCTCCCTTGCAGCAGCGACCGGCACCTCTCTGAGGGCGTAGCTGGTCTCTCGGCTATTCGGTGGTGGGTCTGCGTTCCTCCGTATCAGGGCTCCCCCGCCGACGTCAGGTGAGCAGGTCGCTGGCTTTGAGGCAAGATGCCCCGCTTGGAGTCGTTCCAGCCGTCGTCAGGTGTTTTGCTGCTGTTCTGGTGCCGTCCATAGACCCAGAGCTCTGTAATGAAGTTGTCATTCAAGAAGAACGCCGCCGCAATGGCCAAGATGCTCTGAGGGGACCAGCAGTACTCATCGAAGCCAGGCCAGGAATCCAACTCCTCCACAGCTTGGTGGAAGGTACTTATTCAGCAATTATTACTGTACTTATAACCCACTTACGAGCCCCCTAAGTGCCCTAATATGGTTCCGAGTACAGTTGTACGTACAATTATACTTGGTTGGGAAGAACCATGAACTTCCAATGCTGAAGTTCTCATCTTCACGCATGTCTCCCAACTGCTACGACACGTATCCTGCGAAGTCTTTGAAAACCCGAGCGCTTCGCTTCTTCAGAAGTCGGATAAACATTGACAGCTACTTGTCGATAACGAAATCACGCCTGAATTCGGTTGTCAATCGCCACGCACCAGGCAAAATTGCTATGAATATTCTCGATGTGACCACCACTCGCCAATCGAATGTCCCCGTTTGACACTAGCCTCCAGCGTCCCTGTTGATGAGACTTTCCTCCTCCTCCTCCTCCTCCTCCTCCTCCTCCTCCTCCTCCTCCTCCTCGCGTCCACTCCCCAGACTCCTCATCTGAAGCCCTGAGCAACATGACCCGAAACCCCCCAAAACCCCGAAGTCCAGAACCAAATCCCCCAAAAGTCTTGCCCCCTAACAACCCTCTTCTGCTGCACAGAGCCCCGAGCTGAACTCCAGGGAGGGGGGGCCTCAAAGTAGCTCTGGTAGAGGCCGGAGCGGAAGAAGGACAGGGACCCGCCGAAGAGGCAGCCATAGATGTTCACCGGGAAGGAGCCACCGGGAACCTTGTTGAGCAGTGTCGTGGCAGCTTGGGGTTCGGGGGCACCTTGGAACCTGCAGCATGTACACTTGGGAGGCCTTGGGGGCGGGGGGGGCTAAACCCTGAACCCTAATCCCTGAACCCTAAACCCTAAATATTTGGGCACAGGGGTGGCCCATGCTTTAGATCGACCCCCATGTCCGCAAGGACGGCCTGGAAGGGAGATCGTACCAAAAGTTGCACGATGCGTGTGGCTACTTGGAGGTTCATGGTACTTATTCAACTTAGGGTTTAGGGTTTAGGGTTTAGGGTTTAGGGTTTAGGGTTTAGGGTTTAGGGTTTAAGGTTTAAGGTTTAGGGTTAGAACTTAGAACTGTACTTATAATCCACTTATAAGCCCCTTAAGTGCCCCAAGGTGGTTATGAGTACAGTTATAAGTACAGTCATGATTGTTAATAAGTACCATGAACCTCCCAGCATCAGCTCTCAGCGGTCAACCCTGCCTCCCTCAACTCGCAACCTCCGTGGAGGGTTTGGGGTTTAAGGTTTAGGGTTCGGGGTTTAACTAAACCCTAAACCCTAAACCCTAAACCCTAAACCCTAAACCCTAAACCCTAAACCCTAAACCCTAAACCCTAAACCCTAAACCCTAAGCCCTAAGCCCTAAGCCCTAAGCCCTAGATGGGTGATTTTGGAAGTTAGGGGCCCCTATCCGGGGGAACCCTTACGGGATAGTCAAGACTATCGTTTGGGAGGGAAGGCGGGGGGAAGGGGGGGGGGTTAGGGTTTCGGGGTTTAGGGTTTCGGGTTTAGGGTTTTTAGGGTTTAGGGTTTAGGGTTAGGGTAGGTTAGGGTTTAGGGTTTAGGGTTTAGGGTTTAGGGTTTAGGGTTTAGGGTTTAGGTTTAGGGTTAGGGGGTTTAGGGTTTAGGGTTTAGGGTTTAGGGGGGGGGGGGGGGGGGGGCGAACCCTAACCTCCTGAATCCCCAAGAGCAGGGTTTGGGGTTTAGGGTTTTCAGGCCAATGAAGGTTTAGAAGGCTTGGGGTTTGGGGTTTAGGGTTAGCGAAAGCCTCGCTCTCGTCCCACCAGTAGCTGACGAACTCGGGCACCTGCCGCCATGAAAGAGCTTCCAGTTTCTGGAGTCTTGAGGGCTTTTGAGGGCGTTTTTCGGTTTGGGATCTTCTGAAATGATCACTAGGCCCTAAATCCATTGGGCCGGAGTCTTGCGAAACCTGCGGCTGATGCCAACTTCTCCTTCTGTCAAACCGAAAACATCAAGCCCAAATCCTTCCGTGACAATGGCCTGAACGGCTTCCACACTCTAATGCTACCACCCTAAACCCTAAACCCTAAACCCTAAACCCTAAACCTTAACCCGGAAAATGTTTGAAACCCCAAGCCCGATGATGGCGGCCTGGGGCGTCAGGTTGCGAGCACGCATGAACAGTTTGGAGACCTGGTGCTGCAGACACCCTGAACCCGAAACCCAAATACTTAGGGTTCAATGGTTGTTGTCGCAGGACTCGCAATTTTTCAGCAGCTTGGGGCTTATGGCTCAGGCTCTACAGGGCGAGACCCAAGAGTAACCTAGCTAAAAAGGGTGTCCTTGTTAAGGTTTCAAGGGGCTTTTCAGTACAAGGGACCCCTAACCCCCAACAAAGTGAATAAGGGCCTCCCCTGGGTCCTAGCCCTAAACCCTAAACCCTAAACCCTAAACCCTAAACCCTAAACCCTAAACCCTAAACCCTAAACCCTAAACCTAAAAAAAGGGGAATAAGGGCCTACCCTCGGTCCTAGGCTTCGGGCTTGGGAACCTGAGCCCAACCCTAAACCCTAAACCCTAAACGCTAAACGCTAAAACCCTAAACCTAAACCCAAACCCCTAAACCCTAAACCCTAAACCCTAAACCCTAAACCCTAAACCCTAAACCCTAAACCCTAAACCCTAAACCCTAAACCCTAAAACCCTAAAACCCTAAACCCTACATTCAGAACGATCCACCTCTGTGAGGTACACGGTGCGGTTCCACGTCCGCTCCTTGGCTTAGGGTTTAGGGTTGAGGGTTCAGGGTTGAGGGTTGAGGGTTGAGGGTTGAGGGTTGAGGCTTGAGGGTTGAGGGTTGAGGGTTGAGGGGTGAGGGCTGAGGGCTGAGGGCTGAGGGCTGAGGGCTGAGGGCTGAGGGCTGAGGGCTGAGGGCTGAGGTTTAGGGTTGAGGATTGAGGGTTTAGGGTTTAGTAGGGTTCGGGTTTAGGGTTTAGGCGACCAGGGGGTTCGGGGTGTCGGGGCCAGGGTTCGAATTCTCGGTTGTTCTACCGAATTCTCTGCGGCCTGACTGTAAAACTAAGCTAGGCTCGTCCATAAAGCGTCTCAATCGCAACACAGACAAACGACCCCAGATCCATCCAGGGTACAGTGTTAACCTAAACCTCACACCTAAACTCTGCACCTAAACCCTGAACCTCATCAACACGCTTCAGAAGCCAGGTTTGGCCTGGAGTTCCAAGCATGAGATTCAAGGTCAAGGGGAAGCCCCGCAATTACAGGCAAGATGTAGGCATCGCATCAATGGCCGCGGTTAGGGGTTTAGGGTTCATTTAGGGGTTGCGCGGGAATTTAGGCTTTGGGGCTGTAGGGCTTCTGGGTCAGTTCCAGCGTGAACCCCCCCAAACTGCTTCTAGAAGAGCGAAGATAAGCCTGAAAGGCAGATGCAAGGCATAACATGCCTTAACCCCTAAACTGCTTCTAGAAGAGCGAAGATAAGCCTGAAAGGCAGATGCAAGGCATAACATGCCTTAACCCCTAAACTGCTTCTAGAAGAGCGAAGATAAGCCTGAAAGGCAGATGCAAGGCATAACATGCCTTAACCCCTAAACTGCTTCTAGAAGAGCGAAGATAAGCCTGAAAGGCAGATGCAAGGCATAACATGCCTTAACCCCTAGACCCTGGACCCTAAACCCTAAACCCTAAACCCTAAACCCTAAACCCTAAACCCAGAACCCTTGGGTTTGGGAAGAAGGGCCTCAGAAGGCTTGGGGAGTCGGGTTGAGGTCTATCCACACGGAACGCCGATCGTGTGAAGGAGACTCAGGGTTTAGGGAACAAAGGGCACATGCGGTTGGAGGCTTTCAGAATTGTGTGTGTGTGTTATATGTATATGTATATGTATGTACACATATCTCTATAACTATAAGCTACCAAATCTGAATAGATAAAATATTAATGGATAAATGAATAGACAAATAAAAAATATAAATATAAATATAAACAAGTAAATGAATAAATAAATATATATATATATATATATGTGTGTGTGTGTGTGTGCATCAGGGCTGTTAGGCTTAAGGCTTATAAGTTAGGGCTTCGGACATACGAAAGAGGCAAAAGACGACCCTCCTCTCCACCGCTAGGGGCCCCCCTAAGAAACGGAACGCCTCAGCCAACGCGAGGAACCTGAAGCCTCAACCTAAACCCTAAACCCTAAACCCTAAACCCTAAACCCTAAACCTATTTCCTAATCCCTGCAATCCCCAAGTCTCGCCAGTGTGGTGCCGCCCAGCATCGTAATGAGTCTGCCAGTAGCCGAGGTCGGCATTCTGCTCAAACATGTACCAGAGAGGATCCCAGGGAACCGGGTGGCTCAGAACGAACCTCTGGGGTTTAGGGTTTAGGTTTAGGGTTTAGGGCTTAGGGTTTAGGGTTTAGGGTTTAGGGTTTAGGGTTTAGGGTTTAGGGTTTAGGGTTTAGGGTTTAGGGTTTAGGGTTTAGGGTTTAGGGTTTAGGGTTTAGGGTTTAGGGCTTGGGGCTTAGGGCGTGGGGGTTTCGGTGAATATTTTCTGTGATCCCTCTGAAGCATGCCGGAGCCTAGCAATCTCTAAAGGGGACAAGCATCCCACAAGGCTCCGAGTTTCGGGTTTAGGGCTTAGGGTTTAGGGTTTAGGGTTTAGGGTTTAGGGTTTAGGGTTTAGGGTTTAGGGTTTAGGGTTTAGGGTTTAGGGTTTAGGGTTTAGGGTTTAGGGTTTAGGGTTTAGGTTCAGAGTTGAGATTTTGGAGGCCTCAAGCTCTGAGACCTGAGCCCTAATTAAGTCCGATAAGTCCGAAGCAGATCTCCCTGGTTCTTAGTAGGGAATGAGGGAATCAGGTACCCTATATGTTCCCTTACAGGGTCTATATAGGGCCCTAACAAACCCTGAACCCTAAACCCTAAACCCTAACCCTAAACCCTAAACCCTAAACCCTAAACCCTAAACCCTAAACCCTAAACCCTAAACCCTAAACCCTAAACCCTAAACCAGCCAGAGATTCGCGGAGCCCTGTCTTGAGCTCCTGGCTCGGTGTCCATGAGCAGCACGTGGCTGTAGGCATCCAGCGCCTCGCTCGGCTTTAGGGTGCCATGTTCAGGGCTTTTAAGGTTTGGGGTTTGGGGTTTGGGGTTTAGGGTTTAGGGTTTAGGGTTTAGGCTTTAGGGTTTAGGGTGAATCTGGGGGGCTTGGATTTAGGGCTTAGAGCCGGGGCTCTTATGGCCTCAGCCTGCTCAGCTCAGAGCTGTGATGGTGCGGCCTAACCTGGCTCTAGAGTGACCCCCAAGGCCAGGAGTGGCTCGGAGTCGTTTTCTTGTCCCCGGGCTCATGCCACCGACCTCCACACTAAGCTGACGAGACTGGGCTCATCGGTTAGCATACGCACGACTTCGACATGCCACGGCTAGCTGCGAGCGTCAAAGGCCCCTTGTGGCCATCTTTCTTTGTGGGCCTGGTTCCTTTTCCAATAGCAAATGCACCACATCAGCGTGGTCCGCGGCAGCTGCACCAGCAGCGCAACCTCAAGGTGGGATGCGAAGATCAGGGCAGTGTGGCCATTGTTGGTGGCCGCCAAGTCCTTGTCGGCACCGGCCTCCACCATCAAACGCGCGTTTTCAGGAGGTTACTGCGGCTTTTTCTGGCCAACGTTTGGGTTGAGGCGCAGCTGCAACAAGGATGGAAGTTTCCGATTAATCAGGGAATGAGGGGTTCTCAATGTGGATTGTCCCATCTACCAGCATATGGACTGTCCCTTTGGAAACATCCACCTCTTTCACCGCACCATCTCTGGCGGCAGCTCTGAAGGGTTGGAGAAAGAAAAGCACAACAAATTTCCATGTCCCAGGGAAGTCGAGCTCGTCAGCATCATCCAGCTTCAGACTGGAGGAGGAGCCACACGGAGGCAGGCCACGTGCTTGGTGCAAGCGCTGCTCCACTTGCAGCATGCTGGCCGGATGGCGCAGCTTAAGCGGACCTTGGGATGTTCGCCCTTATAATAAGGGCGAGAAAACAAATAGGGATGGTAATAGGGGGTTACTGTCATGCCTATTAAGGACTGTTAATAAGGGGGAACATCCCGACCCAAACTAAAGAAAACCACCTGAATACCCAAAATAAGGAACCCAAAAAAACGGAGTGCAGCCACATGAAAGGAGTGGAGTAGGCGTTTAGTAGGACTATAGTAGGCACCAGGGTCCCGACACATCTACCGTTCCCACTTGGGGGGCGGGGGGGGGGGGGGCGGGGGTCTCCCCTCTTTCCCGAAATCCCCCGGCTATCTGGCCTGATGCATCCAGAGCGGGCCGGCTGTAAAGCGTGCCGCTCGCCGGTATCCCGCGGAACAGCTGGGGTGCTCGGACATGGGCCTCGACATCGTTCCAGGCTTAGGCTTTAGGGTTGGGGGACTAAGGCCTTGGCCTGTTGGGTTCTATATAGGCCCCTGCAAGAGTGAAAGAGTGATTGAAGTTCTACCCTAAGCCCTAAACCCTAACCGCTGAGGTCTATTGACGACTTGCAGTCGCAGGGCAGGCACTGACGATGCAAGACGAGGGAAGGGTTTTCACTGCCAAACCCGAAACCCTAAACCCTAAACCCACTTGGGAAATGTGTTCAAATCTCGGCTGCGCTCCGGGCCATGTCAGGTCTCTCTCGTTGATGATCTCCACCTCGGCTACGCTCTACATCCGAATTTCTTAGCACCCGCGAGGCACCTAAGTTGAACACCCTACACTGCCCCCTAAACCCCTACACCCCTAAACCCCTAAACCCCTAAACCATCCTAAACCATCCCAAACCATCCTAAACCCCTAAATACCAAACCCTGTAGTCCTCCGACCCTAGCCGTCACCCCTCCTCCCAGCCGCAAACCTTACCGGAGGTAGCGCGCTGCGAGTCCACCCGTGCCGCGGACAGTGCAGAACCGTCGTAACATGATGGGTTTTTGGTCCTAAGAAGGGGTCTTTTCAGGAGCCAACCACCGAGCACATAAAGAAGTGTTCCCAGAGTTCTCATACGTCATATTTGGACCTGTGGCTTCTGTGGATTGTTGTGGCCGTGGCAGCTTAGCTGCCCACCTCCCCTGCCGGGGCAAGTTCCGACTGCAGGGTTTAGAGTTTAGGGTTTAGGGTTTAGGGTTTAGGGTTTAGCGCATCTGCACTTGCACTGGAAGTGCGTTGAGCAGACATGTGGGGAAATGTTTGTGACATTTGTGTAAATTGACGCTCGTTGTAATTTTGCACCAAGAATATTCTGCAATGTTGATGTGGTTCTCATTGAAGTGTGATTTGACGATGATTCAGTAGAAAACAGCGCTGACTGTAAATGACTGCAAATAATTGGTGAGTTCTCAAAATCTGATAGTCCCTTGTTGGGTTATCCCAAATAACAGGACCCTATGATAGGAACCCCGAAAGGGACCAGACTTAGAGAAGTGACCAACTACATTTGAGGGTTCCTTGAGCAGATCCTAGTAAACCTCAACCCTTCCACCCACAAACCGCCCAAACTGCTAAACCCCAAGAATCCCAAAAGCCTAGAGCCCTGAACCACAAACCAAAGACGCCAAAACCCAAAATCCTCCCAAGAAACTTTGAGGGCGCGACTGTGATGTTCAAGAAGGGAAAGCTTTCCGCGAAGCTCGCAGCCTCCCACGGTCAAACACATCTTCAGCTTAGGGCTGTAAAGCAAGGGCTCTGAGAGCTATAGGGCTCCTAGGGCTCCTTGGGCTGGGTCTCGGGCACTGGGTACTTTCTTAGTTGTCCAGTACCTAGGGGTTTTAAAGGTTAACCTTTGGGATTATGAGGGGAATGTATTAACCCAAAAAGGTTAAAGGTTACCTACTCTACTACTAAGCTTTGGGGTTCTGAAGGTTGGTATTCTGGGTTTGGGGTGTCGGGCTCAGGGTTCGTGGCTTGCGTTTGCGAAGAAGGATCATGAGGTCTTCAGTGTTAGAGTGCTGCGGCGTTAAAGCGTTCAGGTTCGGGTTTATTTGGGGTCTCGGGTTTGGGGTTTAGGGTTTAAGGCTTAGGGCTTAGGGCTTAGGGCTTAGGGCTTAGGGCTTAGGGCTTAGGGCTTAGGGCTTAGGGCTTAGGGCTTAGGGCTTAGGGCTTAGGGCTTAGAGTTTCGTAAAGTGCTTTGGTGTGCTTGCTTCAAGCACGCACCGCAGAGACGCATCATGGCGTCGCACCACGGTCCTGCTGGGCTGCTGAAGCATTGTCGGCGAAGATGATGATGGGCCTGGCAGGGCAGCTTCGTCCGGGTGACGGAGAAAGCAGCACGATGGGTTCAAGAAACAAGCCGCTGCAACAATCAAATCTGAGCGCCCCTTCTGCTACCCCTAAACCCTAAACCCTAAACGCTAAACCCCTAGTTCGTACCTGTGAGTGTCCGCTGCATCTTGACCTGGTGAACTGGATTGACAAGCCGGGGCAGCACTACATAACGGTAAGGGTTTATGGATGGCTGATGGTCATCAACTCCGACATGCTGCCTATGCTTCCCCAAAGAGTACGTGGGGATCGCTGGTAACTCTAAACCCTAAACCCTAAACCCTACACCCCGGCTCCTGAACCTGCAAAGCCCCACTCTCAACCCCCGCAACCCCACAAGCGCGCAGGAAGCTCCAGCCGCCTTCCCGGGAGAACCAGTACCTGAGGCTCACTCCTCAACAAAAACTACCAAAAAAAAACAAATTTGGGTCTAGAGTTTGTGGTTTAGGGTTGACGGGAGGGGGTTCAGGGTTTAGGGTTTAGGGTTTAGGGTTCAGGGTTCAGGGTTTAGGGTTTAGGGTTTAAGGTTTAGGGTTTAGGGTCTGAAGGTTGCGGCTGTCTCAGGAGTTTCGTACAGGGGCCTAGCTCACTGGAAGGGGGCATTCTTGCGGGGTAGCTTTTGAAAAGGTTGGGATGTTCAACCTTATACGAACAGCCGCTAATAGGGATTGCAGTACCCCCTAGTATACTCTCTATTAAGGAGTGTAGGGGGAACATCCCAGTGTATAGGTACTAAAGGAGCGGATCATATTGGCAAACTCCGCTTTTCAAATTTCAACACAGCTTCTTGCTTGGCAGCTTGGGGGGGTTTAGGGTTCAGGGTTTGGGGTTTTGGGTTTGGGTTTAGGGTTTAGGGTTTGAACCCTAAATCCCTGGAGGCTTTTGGGTTTCGCCCGGTTTACGGTTGAGGGCTGAAGGGCCCGAATCCCCAAACCTACGAAACCTGGAAACCTCATAAGCCCCACGCCAGGTCAGGGGCACGTCTGCAAGCTGCTCAGCGAGGCATCGATGTCGTGAAACCTACCCCCGGCCGCTAAGGGGTTTGGGCTCGTAACAGGGTTTCGGTTTGGGGTTTGGGGTTCAGGGTCAGGGCTTAGGGTTTGGGATTTAGGGTTTGGGGTTTAGGGTTTAGGGCCCATGAACCCTCAGTTGTGAAAGCTATTTAGGGTCGAGATCTCTAAGCAACGTATAGAAAACCTAACACCAAACACCTAAAAAGTTGAACTAAATCGACCCGCATCTATCACTTCACCGCCAGAGAAGCTCCAGATCCACACGCGAAAGATGTCAAGACAGACATCGGAGAACCCAACCGACACCGCGACAGAACATCATGTCAAACAAACCCTAAACCCTAAACCCTAAACCCTAAACCCTGAAGCCACTTTGAAGCTCGTACCGGCCTCCTACATAGGCACCCTTTGTTCTAATAGGACCCCTTTTTTCCAACAGCAAAACACCCCCAAAAAAAACATGATCCCAAGTTGAAGCAACCGTTTTGAAACTGAGAATGAGATCCTAAATCCCTAAACCCTAAACCCTAAACCCTAAACCCTAAACCCTAAACCCTAAACCCTAAACCCTTTCAAGCAACCGTTTTTGAAGCTGGGGCATCCTGAGCGCCTTAAGCCCCAAAATTGGTCTCCGCACCTCGCCATGCCCTCGGGCAGGAAATGGATGTAGGCCACGGCCCCTGTGGTTCACCCGAGGGCTGTAGGGCTTAGCTTAGGATTTAGGGTTTAGGGTTTAGGGTTTAGGGTTTAGGGTTTAGGGTTTAGGGTTTAGGGTTTAGGGTTTAGGGCTTTCGGGGCTAAGCAGGGTCGCCCTCGCATCCCCCAGAACCCAGAAGCCTGATACCTGACAGTTTAGAACCAGGCCTTCATAGGGATCATAGTACCCCCGATGTTCGTATAAGGGGGAACGTCCCTATTGGCCTTCATAGGGATAAAAGTACCCCCTATGTTAGTATAAGGGGGAACGTCCCTACTGGTATCTCTCAAGCCCAGATTCCTCCATGGTCTGGAATGGGGCATTTGGCAGAGCGATGCACCCCAGAAAAGAAACAGATAAACAAATATCTATACACACGAAATATGTGTGTGTACGCAATATATATATATATACACATACATATATATATATATACATACGTAAGGCGAAGGGTCGGCGTTTCATGTCTCCAAACCCGAAACGCACGAAACACACGAAACCCTCTAAGCCCCAAACCCTGAACCCTGAACCCTAAACCCTAAACCCTAAACCCTAAACCCTAAACCCCACAAAAAAAGCACCGGTCCTCGGAGCTTTCCCGCCAGGGCCCGGCGCCAGCTCACCGGGGTGGCTTCGTCTGCAGCAGGTTCTAGGATGGCTCTTAAACACCCTCTGAAAAGGCCTTCCTTACGTGGGATTGATCTCAGAAACCCTAAACCCTAAACCCTAAACCCTAAACCCTAAACCTGTGAGTATAAGGGAGAACATCCCAAGGCTTGACGATCATGAAGTTTGGGGTTTACAGGGTTTTCTAAGGTTCAAGGTCCAAGGCGCCGCTTCTCAAAGAGCCCAAGACCCCCTCTAGAAAGAAGATACCTCAGATCGTCCTGGGGCTCCCTATATATATATATTTATATTTATTTATTTATAGATTTATATATTTATATTATATATATATATATATAGATTCAGGCGTATTCCTTATTTAGGGGGTTTGGGGGGCCCTTTGGGTTATTGCCCTGGACACGAAACTCGAAACCATACAGAGTTTAGGCTTTAGGGTTGAGGATTTAGAATTAGGAATTAGGGATTTTTGGGGTTGAGGACCCTTCAACTGTAGTTTCTGCCCTTAGAACAGGAACAAAAAGCAATTCAACATTCCCTTGGGATTTTAGACTAAGCTGTGGACGCTCCAGGTCGCGCAAGAGGGACAGGGCCGGCCAGGGCGACCGCCTTGGCCAGTTTTGGGCTTCCAGCCTTGGGTCTAGGGTGTAGAGTGTAAGGTTTAGGGTTTAGGGTTTAGGGTTTAGGGTTTAGGGTTTAGGGAGTTTAGGGTTGAAGGTTTCTTTTTTTTTTTTTGGGGGGGGGGGGGGGGGAGGGGGTATTGAGCTTGGGGCACAGGCGTGGGGTGTCACGGCGTCAGGACTTTCGGGGGCGACTTGGGGAGGCAATCGCTTGTAGGTGCCAGGGTTTCGGGCTTTAGGGCTTTAGGGTTTTATGGTTTTTGGGTTTTAGGGTTTAGGGTTTATAAGGTTTAGGGTTTAGGGTTTAGGGTTTAGGGTTTAGGGTTTAGGGTTTAGGGTTTAGGGTTTAGGGTTTAGGGTTTAGGGTTAGGTTTAGGGTTTAGGGTTTAGGGTTTAGGGTTTAGGGTTTAGGGTTTAGGGTTTAGGGTTTAGGGTTTAGGGTTTAGGGTTTAGGGTTTAGGGTTTAGGGTTGGGCTTTTAGATTTTAGGGTTTTAGCGTTTTAGGGTTTAGGGTTTAGGGTTTAGGGTTTAGGGTTTAGGGTTTAGGGTTTAGGGTTTAGGGTTTAGGGTTTAGGGTTTAGGGTTTAGGGTTTAGGGTTTAGGGCTACTTCTGCTACTGTCAGGCAGGCTCTGGGGTTCGGCTGCTTGCACTCTTACGGAAAGAAGGGCCCTTAAGAAACACCCCCAAGTAGTAGGATTCCTTTAGAATAAGGACCCCAAGAAGTGCCAATAAGGTGCCCCTACTACCGTAAGCCCCCCCTTCAAAGATGTGGGTCACTGCGTGCTTCTTTTGAGGCGTTTCGGCTCTTGGGCCTTCGAATTAAGGATCGATTCCCAATTGTTTGCTCCAGCTCTGCACTCCGAACAGCCACGCTAGGCCGGAGAGGCACGTCTGCGCTTCGCGACCGACTCTGACAGCAGATGCGAGACTTCAACAAACCCCCCAAAATCTGCCATCATCAGGGCTGTCTGGCCTGCGTTGTCGGTGATGTCCTTGTCGGCGCCAGCCTCTACCAGCAAGCGCACGACTTCAACGTGGTCATTTGCAGCTGCGAGCATCAAGGCTGTGTAGCCATCGTAGTTGGACAAGTTCTTGCCGGCGCCAGCTTGCACCAGCAAGCGCACGACTTCAACATGGCCCAGGCGAGCTGAGAGCATCAAGGCTGTGTAGCCACTGTTGCTGGCCAGGTCCTTGTCGGCGCCCGACTCCAGAAGCAAACGCACGACGTCAACGTAGCACCGGACAGCTGCGACCATCAGGGCAGTCTGGCCAAAGTTAGTGGCCACATCCTTGCCAGCACCGGCCTCCAGCAACAAACGGACGACTGCAACATTGTTTATTTCGGATGCCATTAACAGGGCTGTGCGGCCTTCATGGTCGGCTTTGTCCTTGTCGGTTCCAGCCTCCACCAGCAAACGCACGGCGTCGACACCAACACGACCCTGCCCAGCTGCGCGCATCAAGGCTGTGTAGCCATGGTTGTTCGCCAAGTCCCTATCGGCGCCGGCCTCCACCAGCACACGCGCGACCTCAGCATGGCCCATGCGAGCTGCGAGCATCAAGGCCACGTCCTTGTAGACGGCAGCCTCCGCCAACAAACGCACGACCTCAACGTGGCCCTCTTTAGCCGCGATCATGATGGCTGTGAGGCCTTCATTGTCGGCCTTGCCCTGGTCGGCACCAGCCTGCACCAGCAACCGCGCGACTTCAATGTGGCCCGCGTGAGCTGCCATCAACAGGGCTGTGCGACCTTCATTGTCGGCCCTGTCCTTGTCGGCGCCAGCTTGCACCAGCAAGCGCACGACTTCAACATGGCCCAGGCGAGCTGAGAGCATCAAGGCCGTGTAGCTACTGTTGGTGGCCAGGTCCTTGTCGGCGCCGGACTCCAGTAGCAAGCGCACGACATCAACGTGGCACCCGATAGCTGCGACCATCAGGGCAGTCTCGCCAAGGTCAGCGGACCCGGCACCGGCCTCCACAAGCAACCGCACGACCACAGCATGGCCCCGTCGAGCTGCGATCATCAGAGCCGTGCGATCGCGGTAGTCCGTGTGGTCCATGGCGGCGCCGGCCTCCACCAGCAAACGCGCGACTTCAATGAAGCCATGATCAGCCGCAAGCATCAGGGCTGTGCGCGCACCACTGTCTGCCAAATCCTTGTCGGCGCCAGCCTCCAGTAGCAAACGGACAACATCAACGTGGCACCCGACAGCTGCGACCATCAGGGCAGTGTGGCCGCTGTTGGTGGCCAAGTCCTTGTCGGCGCCGGCCTCCACCAGCACCTGCACAACCTCAACGTGGCCCCCCCGAGCTGCGTACATGAGGGCTGTCCAGCCATTGCTGTAAACCTTGTTCTTGTCGGCACCGGCCTCCACCAGCAAACGCACCACCTCAACGTGGCCACCACGAGATGCCCTGCAAAGCGGCCTCTCATTGCCTCTTGTTTCCACGTTTGGGTCGAGGGGCAGCTGCAGCAGGGACTCGACCTGGTATATTCGGGAATGAAGGCTTCTCACTAGCGGGCTCTGCACTACATATGTACATATACACATACATGTTTATCAGTTTACTTGCTTACTTGAATGTGATACTTGTGTTTGCACTTGCATTTGTGTTTAACTACAGACTTGTACTTCTATATCCATATATGTCTCAGCACCATCACTCTCAAAACATCCGCCTCTCGCACGGAGCCCCAGCTGGAAGCAGCCATGAGCTGATCCACCTGTGTCGGGGAAGGGCTGGAGAAAGAAAGCACAACAAGCTGCAGGTCCAGTGGAGAGGCGACTTCGTCGGCATCATCCAGCTTCCGATTCGAGCCCTGGAGGAGGAGCCTCTGCCTGAAGCGCGGGGGCAGGCCATGCAGCCCTTGCAAGCGCCTCTTCACGTCCCTCACGCTGCTCACCTCCTCCACGGGCATGGATGTCAACTCTTCGCCGGAGATCATGCGAATGTGCAGCATGCTGGTGGGAGGTGCGGAGAAATGCGGGCGACTCTTATGAACCTCCTGGGCACTCTGAGCCATATGCACCCTAAAACTCCTCCATCCTGCCCCGACATAGATACATACATACACACACACACTCTCTCACCCGAAATCATGAACCTAAGCCTCCCTCAACCCCATATCCTGAACCCTAAGCCCTAAACCCTGAAAACCCTAACCGCCAAACTTCCAAGCATTCTTCGCAAGGTGGAAGCCAAAGGGCAGAAAGTCAATGGGCCAGCGGCTGCCAGCCTGCCAGTTGCTGGGTTCAAGGCTTTAGGGTTTAGGGTTTAGGGGTTTGGGGTTTAGGGTTTAGGGTTTAGGGGTTGAGGTGTTTAGGGTTTAGGGTTTAGGGTTGCAAGGCCAATTAGGGTTATGGCCGAGGGTTTATGATGAGGGTTGGAGGCGTCTAGGGTCAAGGACTTGTTTGGGGGCTTATTAAGGTTAGGGTTCGAGTTTAGGGTTTGGGGCCTGGGGGTTAGGCGTAAGGTCACGAGTGGGATGCGGATTTAATTCAGGTTAAGGGTTATATGAGGGTCAAGGGTGTAAAACTCATTTCCGGCTTCGACCCTCTAACCCCTAGAGACTAAAAGTAGACCACCGAGACCCTGAAGGGTGCAGGGGTCTACTTGACCCTAAACCGGATGTTCCCCCCCATACTAACAGTCCCTAGTAGGGCTGTTAGTATAAGGGGAACATCCCAACGTTTAACATTCGAAGGGTTGAGGGGTTGCCTTTCTTGCTTTCAGGGAGGATTCGCGGAGTCGACATGGACTCAAGCAGGATCTCGGGCCCAACGCCCTCGGGATCAGCCCGGGCTTAGCGGTTTCGGGGTTTGAGATTCTTAGGGTGTTCAGGGTTTTAGAGTTTAGGGTCTTAGGGAATTGGGTTCTAGGATTTCGGTTTAGTCCAGGGAGCCCGGTGGAGAAAGAAGGCTGCGCGTATTTGGAACTGTTTCGCACATCGCCGTGGCATCCCCTTGGGCAGCACTGTCGAGTGTGGCCCTCACCGCCCACCCAGAGCATCAGAGGTTGCAAGGGTTTTGCACGACACTGATGTGGACTCGCTGCTTCTTTGTGTCCGATATGCCACCTGCGCAGCTTCTGAGTGCGCCTTGGGACAGGTTCTGCCAGGTGGCGATTTCCAGGGACCTTTGAAGTGTCATCCCATCCTCTTGTAAACGCGGAAGAAGAGCGTCACGAGCCAGAGCATGAGGCAGATGCTGAAGGACCTCTGCCCGGGTCTCACGAGGGTGCGAGATGGTACGGAGCCCTAGGATCAAGATGCTACCTACTTGGGATGTTCCCCTCATACTCACAGCCCTTAAACCCTTAAAAGGGATTGTAATAGGGGGGGGTACTGCACTATCATCCCTATGTAGGGACTGCTAGTATAAAAGGGAGCATCCCAACGCCCTACCAAAAATCCTGCTCAAAAGGGACGGAGCGCTGCAGCTGCTGGAGCTGCACGACCAGCTTCCAGGATCTCCGAACCGGCAGCATGTGCGAGGGGATGCTGGCGATCCAAACTCCTGCAAACCTGGTCTCAAGGGACTCAGGGTGTTAGGACGTCTCAGGGGGTCGCCACCTGTGGGGCACTTTGTTGATCGCTATTATTAATACTACGATCATTATTACTATTGGTATATTTTTGTTATTGTTATTATGATTATTCTCAATAATAATCACATAAAGAAATGAGCTGGCATTCATAAAGCTCCGCAGAGCGTCACAGCCGCCCCGATGAGGAGAAAAGTAGTCAGCGCTTCTCGCCAGTCTCCGGCAATGACACCGTTGCGTTCACCTGTGCGTACATAGGTTGGGCGGGACTTGCCTGGATGGACCTGGGGTTTAGGGTTTAGGGTTGAGGGTTTAGGGTGTAGGGTTTAGGGTTTAGGGTTTAAGGTTTAGGGTTTAGGGTTTAGGGTGTTGAACATTGGCTCACACACACACAATCCGCATACGAGCAGCGCATGTAAGTCAGCACGAAGCCAAAGAAGACCGGGTAGCCAACGGCATTTCCGCTGGTATCGAAGACTGTCATGGCAGACAGGAATGCCCAGAGGCAGCCAGACCACAGGACGCGAGACTTGCGCGGGGCCTCGACCATTCGCTTGAGGCGGCGCCGCTGAGAACACACGACCTCTGCATCCAATGGCATTATTTTCCCGGGAGTCTTACAGTTTAGGAACGTCAAGGGAGGAGTGGGCATTTCCAAAAAGAGGGGGTACCCTGAATGTACCCCAAAATAGTATAATCCTCATTATAGGAACCCTCAAAGGGTGTCCCTATATTCGGACACCCCCATGTTAATATTAAGTGTTCTGGGCCGAGGCGCCAGAAGCTTCCTAAATTTCTGGATCAGGCTTGTGGTGAGCCACCCAAAATGGGGGTTTCCGAAATTAGGGGGTATCTGTATTGGGGTCCCTCTTCTAAGGAAATCCTACTTTTTCGGGGGTCGAAATTGGGGTATCTTATTGGGGTCCTTTATTCTAAAGAAGTCCTACTATTTTGGGGGGTCTATATTCGGGAGTCCCTCATTTTCGTAAACCCCCCAAAATAACAGCGACCAAGCAGCTGCGACGGAGAGCAGCAGCGGCCACATCGCCGCCACCTGCGGCAGCCCAAGGGTGGCGTGGTGTCGGTGGGCTCGCAGGCTCATGCCTGGCACATTGGGGTGATATACCCCTACGAACAGCTTCTATCGATTCTAGTACTCCCCTAATATAATTCCTCAAATAGGGGTTCTAGTACCCCCGATTGTAATTCCTCAATAGGGATTCGAGGACCCCCGAAAAAAAATCCTGAATGGGGATTCTAGTAACTACTACCCCCTTATGGTCATCCCCATTTTGGACTCCTAGTACCTGGGGGGGGAACATACCCAACTGGTACGCCTGGTAGGATTTTCTGCCCACAGCGTGGAGTCGCAGCTTCGGGGGCTCGACTCGGCCATCGTCTCAAGCCAGCCGCCGACGGAGCCGGCGGAGCGACAAGGCCGAGCATGGCGCGCAGGGGAGGCCGCTTGGACTCCGGCAGGGTTTAGGGTTTAGGGTTTAGGGTTTAGGGTTTAGGGTTTAGGGTTTAGGGTTTAGGGTTTGGGGTTTGGGGTTTGGGGTTTGGGGTTTGGGGTTTGGGGTTTGGGGTTTGGGGTTTAGAGGGTCTAGGGTTTAGGGTCTGGAGCATTCTGCCTGCTTTACAGGAATTTTCTGGTTGACCCTGAGACAGCATTAGGAACCTCAAAAAAAACCTTCAACAAGGACTCTAGATGTTTTACTGTCTGGAGCGGAGAGACAAGCGGGGATTTGTTCTGAAGTAGGGTCCCTTTTAGGGCTCATTGTTCAGAAAGTTCTTTTCGCAAAGCTAAGCTATACAAGATTTCCCGTAGAATCTTCACAGCAAATAGTTTTGGCACCTTGGGGTTTTCTATGAACGCCACAGGATGCCATAGATGAGAGAGCCCTATACTCGTCAGAGCAACCTCACTAGCCTCACATATCCGCGAAGGCCCAACACCCAGGCCTGGACCACCCTCAACTCAAAACCCTCGACCCTGAACCCCACAAGCCCCAGGCCCCTTCGCCCCTGAAGGCCAAGCCCCCAAAAAAAACCAGCAAAACACCAAAACGCAAAGTCCCAAAACCCTAAACCCTACCCTACTGTCGACCTTCCTGAATAAAAACCCCCTGAACCCTAAACCCGAAACCCCAAATAAACAATCACATGAAAAAAGACATAACAAAGTATGGGCATTTCCCAAACTAGGGGTACCCCCATTTAGCTCAAGTAGCATAGAGTCCCCTTAACGGGACCCCCAAAAAGGATACCCCCATTCTCGGAAACCCTAAACCCTAAACCCTTGGGGTTGGAGCCTTTTTGCATCCCCGACCCAGCCTGCTCCTGCGCCGCAGCAAGCAGCGCCTCCTGCGAACGCGACTTGGCGAGCACCTGCCAATGCGGTGGGCTTGGGGTTTTAGGGTTTTTTAGGGTTTTTAGGGTTTTTAGGGTTTAGGGTTTAGGGTAAGTAGGGGGTTTTCGGGTTTGGGTTTCGAAGGCTTAGGGAACTTGGTTGAAAGGCGGGCTGTCTACAGATTGTTGGGTCATCCTGTAGAGTAGCACCCAGCGTGGGAACCCTCAACCCGGCGCGCTTCCAAGCATGCCAACTGCACCAGTGTTGCCGTGGCGAGCGCCATTGGGCAGCGCAAGGGCACACCGCCAGGGACAGCCTCGTCCTTGCACCGAGAACTATTGCACGCAAATCCGTAGAATCTCCCTGAACGCCAGAATGCGAGCCCATTCAGGGATTTTGGGTCGTTTGGACTACTCTTTCATAGAGATTAGAAGGGTATACTGTTGACCGTGTTCAGGCATTACGCCGCAGGAGGGCGCCGCGCATCCTTAAACCTTTCAACTCCGGCCTGTGAGCTGCTAATGGGTTTAAGGTTTGGGGTTTAGGGTTTAGGGTTTAGGGTTTAGGGTTTAGGGTTTAGGGTTTAGGGTTTAGGGTTTAGGGTTTAGGGTTTAAGGTTTAGGGTTTAGGGTTTGGGGTTTGGGGTTTGGGGTTTGGGGTTTGGGGTTTAGGGTTTAGATGACCTACTCGACATCCCTAGGCCTCAGACTCCTCACCTCAAAACCTCCAAATCAGGTCCCTGAACCCTACCTCCTTTAACCCTTCAGCCCCCTGAGCTGAAGCCCAGGCCCTCACCCAAAAAAACCCAAAAGCCCAAACCGCACCCTAAACCCTAAACCCTAAACCCTAAACCCTAAACCCTAAACCCCAAACCGCACCGGGCGACTTGGTCAGAGGTAGCTGTTGCGGTTTTGCAGAATACTGGACCTACAGGTTTGGGCTTTAGGGTTTAGGGATTGGGCCTCATCACCAAGACCTTAAACCCTAAAGGCCCAAAAAAAGACCTTCGAAGACCCTGAAAGTCCTGCAAACCCCACAAAACAAATCCACCAAAATCCCGCCAAAACAATCTCCGAAGTGCCAAATCGCTAGACCCCTAAACCTTAAACCCTAAACCCTGAACCCCAATAAAACCCTAAACCCTAAACCCAAACCCTAAACCCTAAACCCTAAGCCCTAAATCAACCCTAAACCCTAAACCCTAAACCCAAACCCTAAACCCAAACCCTAAACCCTAAGCCCTAAACCCTAAACCCTGAACCCTAAACCCTAAACCCTAAACCCTAAATCGTATCAACCGCCCCGCACAGCGCATGGCGGAGCCTCTTTGGGAGTAGATCGCTCCAGGCCTGGCGGTGTGGGCTTGAGGCTTTAGGGCTAAGGGTTTAAGGTTTAGGGTTTAGGGTTTAGGGTTTAGGGTTTAGGGCTTAGGGCTTAGGGTTTAGGGTTTCGGGTTTCGGGTTTAGGGTTTAAGGTTTAGGGTTCAGGGTGATATGGCATCATGGGGTAGGTAGAGTAGAGTAGAGTACAGCACAGTACCGTACAGTATAGTAGAGGAAAGTATAGAATAGTCTAGTATGGTAAGATTTTGCATCATATAGTCGAGCATGGTAGACTGTAGTAAAAAACATTCGTTTCAGGGTTCGAGCACTTCAAGCCTTCAAGTTCTACGGAGGCCTAGGGTAGAATTGTGGGCTTCGGCTGGGACGAAGCCTCCGGCCTGTGCGGCCTATGGAGCTCTACTTGGAGGTTCATGGTACTTAATAACCAAATTAAACTGTACTTATGACTGTACTTATAAGCCCCTGCAGTGCCCCAAAAGGGTTATACAGTTCTAAGCACAGTTAGAACTGGTCATTAAGTGCCATGAACCTCCAAGTAGTCGTTTTGGGAAGAGGACGAGCTGTGGATTCAGTTTGTAGAAGTTGGGGGCTTGGGAGCTCGGGTTTACGGTTTAGGGTTAGGGATGTTACAGGGTGTAGCCAAAGATTCAGAAGCTGCTTCTGGCTGTGAAACACCTTCTCCTCACCTAAGCCCTACACCCTGAAACCCTAGACCCTAAACCCTAGACCCTAGACCCTAAACCCCAAACCCCAAACCCCAAACCCTGAACCGAAAAGGAAAACAAAACCAAGCTGGGACTCCAAACCCTCAAACCCTGCGACGCCGCAAGACCCTGCAGACAAGGTCTGCTTAGAGGTTCATGGGTAGTTGCAAGCAGGGTCCCTACATTGGGGCATAAGTGTGGAGTTGTAAGTTATAGAACTCTACGTATAGTTACCATACCCCACTTCGAGCTACCCATGAAATTCCATGTGGGAGCTTCGGGTTTCCTGTCTACAGCCCAGGGCCTTTGAGGGGGATTTGAGGGCTTCCATTTGTGAACTTCAACCCGCCCTAATCCCTAAACCTTAAAACCCTAAAACCAAACCCTTAAACCCTTACACCCCAAACCCTAAACCCTTGAACCCTAAACCCTAAACCCTAAAACCTAAAACCCTAAACCCTAAAACCCTAAACCCCAAGACCGGATACCCGCAACCTCGGCCAGCGGACTTTCAAAAAGCGCCAGGGCTGTGAATTCGCCCGCTGCCCCCTCAGCCTCCTTCAGGTGCGCCTGAGTTTGATTTTAAAGCTTGCTTTATGGGTTTTAGGGCTAGGGGTTTGGGGTTTAGGGTTTTTTTAGGGCTTAGGGTTTAGGGATTAGGGTTTAGGGTTTAGGGCTTAGGGTTTAGGGTTTAGGGTTTTTGGGTCTAGGGTTTATGGGGTGTGGGGATATAAGGTCTGGTGGTCATTGCCACGGGGGCTTGTAGGGTCCAGGGTTTAGACCCTCACGGGCAGTGTTGAACGGATTGGGGTGTAGCACAGGATATCAGAGTGGGGGCGATGGGTCTAGGGATGAGGGTTTATGGCTTACGGCTTATGGTACACTGAACATTTGCCAGACATGCAGTTGGAAACCCCTGGGTTCGTCGCCTTCGCATCCTCGGGCACCAGCGCCTCAGACACACGTCTCAGGGCTGGGGCTTCATCCCCTCCCCCCTGTTTAGGGTTTAGGGTTTAGGGTTTAGGGTTTAGGGTTTAGGGTTTAGGGTTTAGGGTTTAGGGCTGAATTTCAAACCTTCGTACAAAATACTCCTGAGCAACTTATCATGCGCGAATATGCGCATGTATAGTACTAACTGTGACTATTCTACGTACCTATGATACAGTATAGCGTAATGTAGAATAATATAGTAGAATATGATGGAATATACTATTTACTATAGGCATAGGCCAATATAAGTTCGGGTTTTAGGTTTAGGGCTTGGGGCTTAAGAGCCTATTTATTGGGAATGTGTATGTTGGGTAGCTTATACCTTCTTGTGGTGATAAATGAACCACATCGAGAGTCATTTTGGCTCCAGTATTGTTGGGCTTTTTGCGGCACGCATGAACAAGCTTGCTGAGAAGAATTGTCAGCTCAACTCCTTCTCTAAGAACTCAATGTGTCACATTCCGTGAGCCTTCCCTCTTCAGGGCGGAGCAATTCCATGGCGGACAAATCAAGGGCGAAAGATCGCGCTACGTGGTCACTCAGCCGAGCGCTGGCAGCACCTTCTACGCAACATACGCGACTGGAGAAACCCTAAACCACAAAGGGGCGCTACTGCGCAGGGGGCTAGGAAGGTACCGCTGCTCGAGGGGTACGAAGAGCTCAACCCCAGAAGCAAAACCCAATCCCCCGAAGCCTAAACCCCCCTCAGTTCCGCCCTCAACCCCCTAAAGCCCCCTTAAGCCCAAAGCCCTCCGGGCCCCCGAAGCTCCCAAACCCTAGACCCCCAACGCGCATCAGAGGTTGCCAAGCGCCTGGCCCAGAGAAGTGAACAAGGCCCCGCATCTGGGCCCACCTGCAGAGGTTTGCTGGAACTCACACGAACAACAAGGGTTCAGGGTTGAAGAGTTACACTTGAACACAGCCTGTCAGGCTTATCTGGCTGATTTGGGGGTTTAATGTTAACCTCGTATTACTAAACCCCCGTAAATTAAAGTGCGCCAGGTGTCCCGGCCGCAATAATAAAGCCCTGGGAATAAAGTACGCCAGTCGGGGCTTGTTTTTTTTTGGGGGTGTCCGTTGTTCTTTGTTTGTTTATGGAGAGAAAAGAGAGGGAGGGTTAAGGGTTTTATGGTTTAGGATTTAATTAGGAAAACATGAAGCGATCAGATTTCGAAGAGAAACCTGAAAACCAAACTCATCAGAAACTTGCAGATTTTTATTTGAGAGCCTTACTAGAGGATTGAAAAAATCTTTCTGGCAAAGGGGGTAGCTTTGGAGGCCGGTGCCCTGGAAATAATCCTGAAAGATCTGCCCCTCGGAATAAAGTTCCTGGAAATTCCTGCCTGAAAAAAATCTTCAAATGATCGCTTCATGGTTTCATTAGGTTTAGGGTTCATGGCTTAGGTTTACTTAGGTGTTGTGGAGTCTTTTTGAATTAGGGTTAAGGGTTTAGGGTTAGGGTTAGGGTTTAGGGATAAGGGTATGGCCTGGTCTCTAAATCCTGGGGCCCCTGCAATTAAAGTCTTAGGGTTTAGGGTTTAGGGTCTGGGGCTTAATTAGGGTTAAGGGTTTCGGGTTTAGGATTTAATTATAGGAAAACATGAAGCGATCAGATTTCGAAGAGAAACCTGAAAACCAAACTCCTGAGAAACTTGCTGCTTTTTGATTGAGAGCCTTACTAGAGGATTGAAAAAATCTTTCTGGCAAAGGGGGTAGCTTTGGAGGCCGGTGCCCTGGAAATAATCCTGAAAGATCTGCCCCTCGGAATAAAGTTCCTGGAAATTCCTGCCTGAAAAAAAGCTCTTTAGGGTTTAGGGTTAGGGTTTAGGGTTTAGGGTTTAGGGTATTAACCAAGCCCTGACCCGTAGAACCCTCCCAGCCCTTCTTTCTGATTCTCTCTGATTCCCTATGATCCTCTCTGATTCTCTCTGATCCTTTCTGATCCTCTCTGATTCTCTCTGATCCTCTCTAATTCTCTCTAAGGAAAGGAATCCTGAGTGATTCTCTCTGATCCTCTCTAAGTCTCTCTAAGGAAAGGAATCCTTATTCAAAGGGGCCCCCACTCTATTTGGGGGGGTTTGATTGAAGGGGGGGGGGTTTATTATTACGAGGTCAACATTACGAAATAGGGACCCCCGAAAAAAGACCCCCGAATAGGAGGATCTCCTGATAATGAGGACCCCAATAAGGTACCCCCTAATATCGTAAACCCCTATTTTCTTCTTGGCCCTTTTCGGGCCTTCAGCGCGCCAGACCCAGAGGGGTCCGATTTCAAAGCAAAAAAAAAAACATCGAATGCTCTCGGAGAAGAGCCAGGCCCCGGGACCTTCAGACCCCAGTAGGGGACCACTGACGCCGTCGTAGGTAAGGCCAATATCCTTTGGCCTGTCCATGGCAAGCCGGTGAGGTTTTGACCCTCACTTCTCTGCGGCACGCTCTTTTGGTATGGGCGCCGGCTGTTCCGTCCTCTCTGCCGCGCGGATTCGAGCTCCCATTGGTTGCAGGCCAGGGTTTCGGGTTCAGCTTTTTGCCCTTGCTGAATGGGTTTTGAGGTTCAGGCCTCTCGAGCCCTTCTTCAGGGCGCGCGGGAAGTTGATGTACGCAGCAAGGGTCATGTTGGTCAAAGCCCACATCCTCGTTTGGGCTACTGGACCCTAAGCCTAGATCCTGAACCCCAACCCTAGATGCCAAGCTGCTAGTCAAAACCACAAAAGATACAAACCCGCCCCACAGGCTGGAACCATCCTAGGAAGTCGGGTCCCTACACCCTAAACCCTGAACCCTAAACCCCAAACCCCAAACCCCAAACCCAAACCCCAAACCCCAAACCCCAAACCCCGAACCCCAAACCCCAAGCCCCAAACCCGAACCGTACTCAAAAAAGAAAAAAGGTCCAGTGCACCTGGGCCTCCAAGGCTGCGGCCAGGAGGGCCAGGATCTCGAAGATCTCGGGTTTCGCAAGGGTTTAGGGGTTAGGGGTGTTTGGGGCTTGGGGTTTAGGGTTTAGGGTTTAGGGTTTAGGGTTTAGGGTTTAGGGTTTAGGGATGTTTAGGGTTTAGGGTTTCGGGTCTAGGGCTTAGGGTTTTCAGTTTAGTGTTTAAGGTTTGGCCTTCAAATCCTGAAGCCCATAAACTATCCCTCGAAGTTTGCGTGAAAACCTGAAGCCCAAAGGCACGCGAAAGCTCCAGCTTTGAGCCCCCGACCGGCCAACGAGATGCCAGTACCAGCTGCCAGGATACCTGCTGGGGTTTAGGGTTTAGGGCTTGGGGTTTAGGGCTTAGGGCTTGGGCGTAGGGTTCAGGGCTTTCAGGGTTTGGGCTTTCAGAGTTTAGGGTTGAGGATTCAGGCACAGGGCTTAGGGCTTAAGGCCCGTGAACACCTGAACTGCTCGACCCTCAACCAAAAGCCCAAACAAGGTCGAACGCACATGCTTAACTCGTCATCATGTCCTTCGAGGGAGACACATCTTACGGTTTGCGGCACCAAACCCTGAACCCTTTAAAACTGGAGATTTGAACCCCCAACGAGATCGGGTCGAGGGCTTCAGGTTTAAGTTAGTTCAACCCCTGAGCCCCGAAACCCCTAGGGGGTTTAGGGCTTTAGGGGTTGGGGGGTTGAGATTTTCCTAAAAATGGTGTTTAGGGGGGTTTGAACCCCAAACCCCCCCCCCCCCGCCCCCCCGCGCCCCGCCCCGCGCATGGTTTCTCCGGCCACGCCCGAAAGCCGAACTGGTGCTACGAGCTCCCAGGGCCAGAGCCCTCAAAGAGGCCGGGCCAGAAAGCAGGTCCTTGTCTGGTGTTTAGGGTTTAGGGTTTAGGGTTTAGGGTTTAGGGTTTAGGGTTTAGGGTTTAGGGTTTAGGGTTTAGGGTTTAGAGTTCAGGGTTTAGGGTTCAGGGTTTAGAGTTCAGGGTTTAGGGTTCAGGGTTTAGGAGTTCAGGGTTTAGGGTTGAGGGTCGCCAGAACATGGCTGTAGAAAGTCATATGACATATCGGGCTTTCTCTTTCTGGCAAGATAGTTTTCTGAACTCCCCAGCAGCAAACCTGCTGTGGTTGGATGCATGAAGCTGAGGCTGCTGAGGGTTCAGGGTTTAGGGTCTAGGGTTTAGGGTTTAGGGTTTAGGGTTTAGGGTTTAGGGTTTAGGGTTTAGGGTTTAGGGTTTAGGGTTTAGGGTTGCTCGGCTGAGGCGACAGAGGGGTAGTGATTCTTCGAAGAAATGCTCTACGGAATTTGGGGTCTTGCAGTTTAGGCTTCACACAATTTAGGGTTTTGGGTTGGGATGTTCCCCCTTATACTAACAGTCCTTCATAGGGATGATGGTACCCCGAAGTATAATCCCTATTAAGGACTGATGGTAGGAGGAACATCCCAAGTTTTGGGGTTCTGGGGCCTTGTACGGCCTCAGACTTGTTCTTGCGAGCTTCAGTCTGGTGAGAGTTGAGGGTGGACGGCTTCCACGACACCTTTAGGGTTTAGGGTTTAGGGTTTAGGGCTTAGGGCTTAGGGTTTAGGGTTTAGGATTTAGGGTTTAGGGCCTCCCGTCCCAGCAAGCCCTCAAAAACTCTGCACACCGCGGACACCAAGCGCTATGTACACCCTACACCCCAAACCCTAGACGCTATACCATGCAGAAGTTCTGTCAATTAATTATGGGCCCTTGTTGGGTGCCCTAAACAAGAAGGCCCTAACTTCTAACAGGAACCCAGAAAAAAGGGACCCTAATCTTACGGACACCTCCCACAAAAAAGGGGAGGAGGGCTCACATGTCCCATGCCGGAGCGGCGAATCTTCTCAAGGTTCAGCACCACCTTCCAGGCGAGACAAGGATGAGGGGTATGGGCTGATGCGGACAGTTTAGGGCTTTAGGCCTTTAAGGGTTTAGGAGTTTAGGTGTCCCCCCGAGTTTAAAAAAAGAACTTAGAAGGACTTTGAACCTTTAAGCCGAACCCTAAACCCTAAACCCTAAACCCGAAACCCTAAAACCCAAACTCGAGACCTTGAAGCCCAACTTTCCGGGCCGCCGCCTGCTTCCCGCTGTCCAGGTGCCACGTCGAATCCTCGCTGCTGATCTTGTCGAAGAGCTTGCCCTGCAGGCCGTTGGCTGGGAGTCATTAGACCCTAAAACCTAAACCCTAAACCCTGAACCCGAACCCTGAACCCCCAAAACCCCAACTGCTTCGGGGCTGTTCCGAGTAAACTAGGGACTGGTTTGGAGGGGTTGGCATCGTGGCTTGAGGGGTGTACCTGTTGGGACTGAGGGCTTTTTGAGGTTGGCCTTCCGCGCTATCGAATGTTCAGGGCCCCGGTACCAGGCTTAGGGTTTAGCGTTTAGTGTCTAGGGTCATAAGGTTTAGGGGTTTGGGGTTTAGTTTGGGGTTTGGGGGTTTGGGTGTTGAGGGTTGAGGGGTAAACTAAGTCCTGATACAGTGGCCCTTTTCTCGGCTTAGGGTTTCAGTCAAGGGGTTGGGCTCCTGTGTTCCCTGCATCCGCCCACGCTAGGCCTGCATTCTCCATGGAAACCATCCAGCTACAACCTAAACCCTAAACCCCAAACCCTAAACCCTAAAACCCTACCTTGTTGTAGGGTAGGGGGGACGAGTCCCCACACCCCAAGTGAAGCGACAGTCTCCAACTTCGCGCACCTCGAGGATCGTCTCTCCTTTCCGCTTGATGCTCACGGACTTTGCGAGGAGCGCCACCTCGCAGTAGGGCCAGGGTTTAGGGTTTAGGGTTTAGGGTTTAGGGTTTAGGGTTTAGGGTTTAGGGTTTAGGGTTTAGGGTTTAGGGTTTAGGTTTAGGGTTTAGGGTTTAGGGTTTAGGTTTAGGCTTTAGTGTTAGGGTTTAGGGTTTTAGGGTTTAGGGTTTAGGGTTTAGGGTTTAAGGTTTATGTTTTATTGTTTAGGGTTTAGGGTTTAGGGTTTAGGGTTTAGGGTTTAGGGTTTAGGGTTTAGGGTTTAGGGTTTAGGGTTTAGGGTTTAGGGTTTAGGGTTTAGGGTTTAGAGTCCTGGGTCCTGGGTTTAGGCCTCATCCTAAACCCTTGAAGCTCCGGAGCTCTAAACCCCCTGAGCCACTGAACCCCGTAAATCCCTGCCCTGAAAACCCCTCAGCCCACGCAGTGACCCACGCGCATTGGTCTACTCTAGACAGTCGATCCATGTCACCCCACACCCTCAACCCCTAGCCAAATCATAACCCCTAAACCCTAAACCCTAAACCCTAAACCCTTTAGGGTTTTGGGTTTAGGGGTTATGATTGGGGGGGTTTTAAGCTAGGCATAGGCACGCCCATCGCGAAGATGGATACAATCCCCATACCCCCCCCCCCCCCCCCCCCGCCCCCACCCCCCCCCATACCCCCCCCCCACCACGCTTTTGCCCCTATGATCCATAAGCCTAATCAAATACGGGTTTCTAAAATTCATCTTTCCAGTGGGCGTGCTCAGGTTGATAGAACTTATGGTTTTTGGGTGGGTTCGGGGCTTGGGGTTGGTAGATGACACGAGACAAAGTCATTATCTTCAATGACTTGTGCAAGTGAGCTCCCCTTATATATGTCATTAAAAATAGAACTGCTTTTCCTCGTCATATACAACATTGTCATATTTCATTGTTGTTTGCTTGGGTTGCTTAATCTCGCTGGAATTCAGTTTCTTAATGTATGAATTCTGGCGATTGTTGTAGTTTGGACTTGCAACGTCGCGACTGTCACGAGGCTCGTTCCTCACGTCAGGCTTGATGTGTTCCTTGTTGCCTTCTAACTTTTCAAGCCCTTCGTAAGACTGCCAAGCAAATCTCGTCGTTCCTTACCTTCTTCCTTCAACTTCTTGATGGAGCTTTTCACTTCACCTGAACAATCACTCGTATACACAAACTTAGACTAAAAGCTTTGAAAATTTTAGCGCGTTTGTAGTATCTCTTGTATCGTCTTTCCCTCGCACTCCTTGCTCAAGTCATGCCTGCAATACTGACACGTTGTTGATAAATACTGATTGCTAACATCTGCGAAGTTATTTGCACTGCCTGCATTCAATGAGTTCTTCCTTGAATTCTTTTCACTCTTCAACTACAACAAGCATTCAATTCAACTGTGAACATTTGATAACATAACGAAATGTTCTGACATTTCTTGCTTAAGATTTAACGACCGCACCAAACGAATTATCTGATGCAAGCCAACGTATCAGATGCTTCCCTTTCTCTGTCCATCGGCCTAGCTTAAACCCCCAAATCATAAACCCCTAACCAAAAGCCCCCCAACCCCAACCCTCCTCTCAGCCCAAAACCCTAAACCCTAAACCCTAAACCCTAAACCCTAAACCCTAAACCCTAACGAAAGAGCCCTACAACCTAGAAGGCCTTGAGGTCCGCCGCTTTGCAGGGCTCCACCCCCAGCTCCACGGTCACTTCCTGCTCAGGAAGGTCTGAGGTTTAGGGTTTAGGGTTTAGAGTTTGGGGTTGAGGGTTTAGAGTTTAGGGTTCAGTACCTAAGGAACTGGGGGGTAAAGGGTTTTGGGATCACTTACTGCTCCGCGGGTTTCCGTTCAGGACCTTTCGAGGGACCTGGGTGTTTGAGGCACGTGGGAGGGGAGGGTACAGGGCTTAGGATTTAGGAGTTTAGGGTTAGGGCTATAAGACCCTATAAACCCGATGTAGGGTTTGGTGGAGAACCTACTTTGGATTTGATGTATCATACTGTGAAGCGCAAATTTCGGAGAGGTTTGTGTAGGCCCCTATAGCCCTCCAAGGCCTAAACCCTGAAAGTGTTCTTCTCAAGCTCTACGAAACCTCTCAACCCGAATGCCCTAAACCCTAAACCCCACGCCCTAAACCCCAAACCCCAAACCCTAAACCCCACGCCCGAAACCCAAACCCTAAACCCCAAACCCCACGCCCAAAACCCCAAAACCCCACGCCCTAAACCCCAAACCCCAAACCCTAAACCCCACGCCCGAAACCCAAACCTTAAACCCCAAACCCCACGCCCAAAACCCCAAACCCCAAGCCCTAAACCCTAAACCCCAAACCCTAAACCCCACGCCCGAAACCCAAACCCTAAACCCTAAACCCCACGCCCAAAACCCCAAACCCCAAGCCCTAAACCCTAAACCCCAAACCCTAAACCCCACGCCCGAAACCCAAACCCTAAACCCTAAACCCCACGCCCAAAACCCCAAACCCCAAGCCCTAAAGCCTAAACCCCAATCCCCAAACCCCTAAACCCCAAACCCCAAACCCTCTCAACCCTCTCAACCACACCCAGGCCTGGCGTGTCTGACTCCAAACTAACCCTAAACCCTAAACCCTAAACCCCAAACCCCAAACCCCAAACCCTAAACCCTAAACCCCAAACCCTAAACCCCAAACCCGAAACCCTAAACCCCTAACCCCAAAGGCCTGGTGTGTCTGATTCCAAACTAACCCTCAACCCTAAACCCTAAACCCAAACCCTAAACCCAAACCCTAAACCCCTAACCCCAAAGGCCTGGTGTGTCTGATTCCAACTGAAGCCCTGGCCCTGGTTTTGGTGTCTCTCCTCGGAGAGAGAGGCAGAAGGCCGGCTTCACAGTTGGGGGCTCCGATTTGGGGTTTAGAGTTTAGGGGTTTAGGGGTTTAGGGTTTAGGGGCCTAGGGTTTAGGGTTTAGGGTTTAGGGTTTAGGGTTCAGGGTTTAGGGTTTAGGGTTTAGGGTTTAGGGTTTGGGGTTTAGGGTTCGAGGGGTTTAGGGCTTCAGGGCCTTGGCCTTAAATTATAAGACCTTCGGGATCTTGAGGCCTTTCGGGGGTTCGAGTTGTTCTTTCGGGTTTGGGGGACAGTCCCTTTGTAAAACACAACCACCAGTACTCTTGCCCCTACTTCGAAGCTCTTCTGACTGAGGACTTTGTAAGTCTACTTGTATCCCCTAGAGACCCTCTCATAATGCCCATAAAGCCTTCAACCCTCAACCTGAATTGAGAAACAAAAAACAAGAACTCAAACAAAACTCTTTAAACAACAAAACCCCTAAAACCCATAAAACCCCCTTAAACGCCTGAGGAGTCCCCAAACTACCTGAACACCAGACCCCTAAAACCCCAACCACCAGCCCCCGAAGACCCTGAAACCCTAAAAACCCCAAAACCCTTAAACCCCTACACCCTTACCTCTAAAACCCTCAACCCCCTACACCCTAAACCCTGAACCCTAAACCCTAGACCCGAATACCCTAACACTTTCAACCCTACCCTCAAGGCCGCAAACTGGCAAAGCCAAAGCTCCCACAGTCCCGGATCACCTCCCTCTAACCTGGGAGAGGGTTTGCGGGTTTAGGGCTTAGGGTTTCGGGTCTAGGGGTTTGGGGTTTTGGGGTTTTCAGGGTTTCGGGTTTAGGGGTTTGGGGCTTTGGGGTTTTGGGCAAAAGGGTTTAGCGGGTTAGGGTTTGGGGCTTTAGGGGTTTAGGGCTTTAGTGTTTAGGGGTTTAGGGTTTCAAGCTTTGGGCATTAGGGTTTGGGGTGTGCGTGGACGCACTCTCCTATCGCACGCTCACGCTATCGCGTAGCTAAGCACATATATAGTTTTGCCCCAAGTACCCCGAAGGCTTCCTACCCACATTGCCGGCCCGATTCCGACGGCCCTGAGCCCTGAACTAAGACCCTAAACCCTAAACCCTAAGTCCTATACCGTAGACCCCAAACCCTAGAGCTGCTTGCACACGCTTCTTAAAGGAACCTTATGTTCCCTACGAAGGACAAGCAAGATTAGGGTTTAGGGTTTAGGGTTACGAGTTTAGGGTTTAGGGTTTAGGGTTTTCGTTTTAGGGTTTAGGGTTTAGGGTTTAGGTTTTAGGGTTTAGGGTTTAGGGTTTAGGGCTTAGGGCTTAGGGTTTAGGGTTTAGGGTTTAGGGTTTAGGGTTTAGGGCTTAGGGCTTAGGGTTTAGGGTTTAGGGTTTAGGGTTTAGGGTTTAGGGTTTAGGGTTTAGGGTGCAGGATCCAAACGGTTCATCTGGATCCTGGAATGCCTACACCAAGCTGCGGCGACGGGTTCACTCCCATAGGCGCCTTGCAGCAGGCCGAAAGGGGTTTTAGGGTTTTAGAGGTTTAGGGTTTAGGGTTTAGGGTTTAGGGTTCAGGGTTTTAGGGTTTAGGGTTTAGGGTCTAGGGTCAAGAACAGCAACATGTTGCGCTGACATGCAAGCCCTCGGCCCCAAAACGCTACCCCCTCCTCCCCATGTTCTGCCTGCTGACGGCTTGCTGACGCCTGCGAGGCGGCAGCGGCATAGCCGCCTGGCTTCCGGCTTAGGGTTTAGGGTTTGGGGTTTGGGGGTTCGGTGTGTTCAAATCTTGGGAGCCCTTCGGAAGTTCCGGGTTCATCCCAACCCCTTGAACCCTGAAGCCCAACCCCGAAACCCTCACCACCCACCCCTCAACACACCACAATCCAGAATCCTCCACCCTCAACCAGCTGACAGAATTACCATCCTACGCCCTAAACCCCCACCCCAACCCCTAAACCGCCCCTGAACCCTAAACCCTACACCCTAAACCCCAACCCCCAACCCACCCAAACCCTAAACCCTAAACCCTAAACCCTAAACCCTAAACCCTAAACCCTAAACCCTAAACCCCCCACCTAGCTGTCCCTGCGCGGGCTGCGCCAGGAGATGCGGCTGGGAACGCGCAAGGTACCGAGCCTGGCGGACATGCAGACTCAAGGGGTCCCACTCTCGTAACCCACTAAGGCTGCTCCCATAAAGGGTTTAGGGGGGTTTAGGGTTTAGGGTTCAGAGTTTAGGGTTTAGGGTTTGGGGGGTAGGGATTTAAGCTACCGTTTGAGGTTGCCCCCATACTCTACTGAGGTTGTCCCCATATTCTACTCCGGTACAACCAAGGGGGTGACAGCAATAGAGCCCTTGATATGAAGTTCCCCGATTTTGGAGAGGTTTTCAGAGGGGAAGAGGCTTCAGGGTCTGGTCTTAGGGTGTAGGGTGTAGGGTGTAGGGTTTAGGGTTTAGGGTTTAGGGTTTAGGGTTTAGCGTTTAGGGCTTAGGGTGGAATGCTACTGGTACATGGCCAGCGCTCCCTGCGGGTGAAGCTTCCGCGCCTGGAACTCGCAGAACTGCTTCTTGAGCAGCTTCTCAGCCTGCAGTAGGTTTAGGGTTTAGGGTTTAGGGGTTTAGGGGTTTAGGGGTTTAGGGGTTTAGGGGTTTAGGGGTTTAGGGGTTTAGGGGTTTAGGGGTTTAGGGTTTAGGGCTTAGTGTTCAGGGTTTAGGGTTTACGGTTCAGGGTTTAGGGTGTAGGGTTTAGGGTAGCAGGTTCAAGTCCCTGATGCAGTTGTTGATGGAGCTGACTGTGACGCGTCTGACGACGAGATGGCTGAGGTGGGAGCTTCGCCCTCTTTGAAGCCTTTCGCATCCGACTCGCCGTCCTGCAGGCACGGTATGGCGGACCCAGATAAAGGCCTACGAGCCCCTATAACCCTTGCTGGCTTGCTGCGTCTCCTTGACGTGGAAGAAGTCCGTCCGGCGCTCAAGGAACGTCATCAGAGTGTACAGCAAGTCCTGAAATGTGACTGCTCTCTGATACAGCTCAAGGACCCCAGTCCAACTTGGCTGGGGGCTTAGGGCCTCTTGGAGGCCGGAGCGAATCTCGAAGACGAAGCCCCCAAAAAAACATGGCCCCAACCCCCAATCATCAGTCCCACCCAGACCTCCCCCAAGTGCCCAGAAGGATGCCCTAAACCCTGAACCCTGAACCCTATACCCTGAACCCTACAACTCAAACCGCGTTCCTCGATCCCTTTGTGCTTCTGGGCGAGGCCCAGGAGGAGCTCGTCCTCGTTTCGGGTTTAAGGTTTGGGGTTTGGGGTTTAGGGTTTAGGGTTTGCTGTGATAGGGCGTAGGTGCTGTGAGGGTTAGGTTTCGGAACAAGCTCGAAAGCTTCGTGAGGTGCGAAGAGACAGCTTTGGCCCGATTGTGGAGGGCCATCTAACACTTTTCTCCCCACGCCGTCCGAGGCGGCAAAGCCACCCAAACCTATTCCTTTTAGGATTTAGGCCTAAACTCAAGGCAACAGTCCGCTTCCAACAACTTATTCAGTTTCATGAATGGGGTTGGGTCCGAGAATCAAAGCAATGGAGGGGGTCGGGGTTTCTCCCAAACAGTTCAGGGGTCAGGGCAAGGGGCCAGAGGGGCCAGGGTCCAGTCAGGCGGGCTGGGCAGGGAGGCCAAGGGGGGCCCGCGGGTCGACCAGTACTGTACCGACCCCCATGCTGTGGGAGGCGGGCGAGCGACCTGGGTCGGCTTGCGCCATCGAGGTCGAAGGGCTTAAGCGCCGCCCCCCAACGTAGGGGGGCGGCCTAGGCCCTGAGTTTAGGGTTTAGGGTTCAGGGTTCAGGGTTTAAGGTTTAAGGTTTAGGGCTGGGGGTTTAGGATTCAGGGTTTAGGGTTTAGGGTTAAGGGTTTAGGGCTTAGGGCTTAGGGCTTCGGGTTTAGGGTTTAGGGTTTTGGGTTTGGGGTTTGGGGTTTGGGGATTTAGGGTTTAATCGGGTTTAATAGGGTTGAATAGGGTTTAATAGGGTTTGATAGGGCTTAACAGGGTTTAAGAGGGTTTAATCGGGTTTGAGGGTTTGAGGGTTTAGGGTTTAGGGTTTTAAGGTCTGAGTGGAAAACCCTAAATCCGACCCAAATCCTGACAGCCCTAACTCGGAAACCGGAAACCCTGAAGAAAACGGGGGAGAACAAACACAACTGAACCAAACCCCAACCGAATCTAGGTGGCCTGCAACCATATGAGAATGAATGCGCCCTTCTCTTGCGACTGGTAACCCTGAACCCTAAACCACGAAGTCCAAAAACCCACCCTACTACGCCCCTCTATACTTTACCTTAATTAAACTGAATTATGGGGAGAATCTACGGAGGGTAGCAGAGAGGGGGGTAGTCGGGGAACCAATCCCATGAACCACTGCGGCTTCCCTTGGAATCTGAGAACCGGGCGAAGCGGCCGTCCATGGCTGAGCTCCCGCAGTGTTCGCGGCCGGCCGTGTGGAGGAGCTTGGTTCTTGGGTCTTGGGGCTTTTGCTGCTTTGGGGTTTGGGGGCTTTAGGGGTTTCGGGCTTAGGGCTCTGAATGCTCATAGAAACTTAGAACTCGTAGTGCCACCAGGAGGAGACATGTCTTAGGATAACCCTCGTGCACGCCTCCGCTTCTCTGCATGCGGCCTGGCGAGCAAAAGCTGCGAGCAGGCATTGCAAGCGAAACCTGAAGCAGGGACTCCAACGCCCGTGAATTAGGGAATATTCCTGAAAACATAGAGGGGTTCCTTATATGGTTTGAGGAATATTGCTTACTTAAGGAGCATTGGAGTCTCTGGGTGAACCCCGAACTTCACTTACCAAAAACTCGCAGCGGCAATACCCAAACAACACCAAAACCCTACAAAACCCCTAACCCAAAAGCCTTCTAAACCCCTAAGCCCCCCCCCCCCCCATACCCCAGACCCGGGGCCGAAAATGGACGAAAAGGGTACTGTTCAGGAACGCAAGCCACGCGACCACAATCCGAAGGCACACTCAACTTTTCTTTCTTTGGGGGAGGGGGGTTACCCTACATACAAGGGTCCGAGAAGTAGACATTTGCGTTCCTCAACAACCCAGGCCCGAGAGAGCACGTCGGCAAGATGTGCCCAGTGCCTCTCCTGGCGAGGGCTTGGGGTTTCTGGCTGGATGCGTTCAGGGCTCCTCGTTTTTTCGGGCGTGAACCCGAAACCCTAAACCACTTCAGGGTTTGAGGTTTGGGGGCTTGGGGAAGTTCCAGGAATGTTGGGTTTCGGGGCTTCGTGGGCTTCAGGGTTTGAGGTTTTGCCAGCCACTAAGAAAAGAACTCCCGCCTGGAGGGGCCAAAAGCCTAGAGGTTCAGGGTTTGGGGTTTAGGGTTGAGGGTTAGGGCGAGTTCTTCAAGGCTTCGGGGGTGTTGGGGACTCTGCCTGGGAGCCCTACCAATTGGCCCAAATAGAAGCCACAAATCCGAAATCTAAGAAAGCCCAGCCTGTGCTTCGGGCCACGGCTCACGAGTCAAGGCCTCCCGTGGCCCAGGACACTTGCTCCGGGTTTTTGCGGGGGTTAAAGATGCTTTCAAGCGAGAAAAGGCTTCTTGAGGTTAATTCGCTGGTTTAGGGCAGTTTTAGGGGTCTACGTCTTCGGGTCACTTGGCTTAGAGGGACCTCTGAGGATCTTGGTCTTCGTGGCGAAGCCCCTGACCCCCATCGAAATCGAAGCCACCGGCCCGACTCCAGCCCTAAACCCTAAACCCTAAACCCTAAACCCTAAACCCTAAACCCTAAACGCCAAGCCTCGGAGGAGCCCACGGGATCAGACACCAGCAGCGCGAGCTCGAAGAAGATCCTGCAACGCAGCCCAGGGCCTAGGGCTTTTGAGTTTAGGGTTTAGGGTTTAGGGTTTAGGATTTAGGGTTTAGGGTTTAGGGTTTAGGGTTTTAGGGTTTTAGGGTTGTAGGGTTTAGTGTTTAGGGCTTAGGGCTTAGGGCTTAGGGCTTAGGGCTTAGGGCTTAGGGCTTAGGGCTTTGGGCTTTGGGCTTTGGGCTTAGGGCTTTGAAACTGTAGGTTTAGGGTTGAGGGGCTGTCTATAGCACAAGCAAGCTTCGAATGTACTAGAACTGGAGGCACCACTGCATGCAGCCGGCTGTACACTGTACACAAACAAAGCGGTTCCTCCGCCGAAGACGGCGGAGTCTCGCAGTTCTCACATGTTCTCACATCAGGTACGCCCACGCTTTGCAAGGCAGATCAGAGCAGGTCCACGCCCAGCAACTGCCGTCCGAGCCCATCGAGATTCAAGTCCTCGATGTCGCGCCACTTTAACTGACCCTTTCTGAGGCACTTGCGAAGCACCCGGGTGCAGCTGAAGCTGTCCTTCTCGTCGTAGTTGGCCTTGCAAGCCGCGCTCGGCGCCGGGAACATGCGCACGTACTGCGCCAGGCGCATCTTGCTGCTGAGGTTGTGGGTGCTGCCGTGCAGCTGGGCACAGGACCAGATCACCATCTCACCCTGCCGAAGGGGCACCGGCTGCATGTAGCGGAGGATGGGGTCCTCCTCCGAGGCGCGGAAGGACTTCGCGGAGCCCGAGACCTTGCTCAACGGCCGCTCCAGGCACCACTGTTTGAGGAAGTGCCGGCAGCCAGGCAGCGTGAGGTGGCAGCCGGTCTCCAGGTCCTCAGAGGCAAAAAAGAGGCTTATGAAAAAAATCAGGGGGCTCAGAAAACTGCTGCCTCTGGGTCTGTGTGTACAGAAGAAGACTGCCTCATTCACCCTGGCTCGTCTTCTGAAAGAAAGCAGAAGGAGAAGGGGGTCCTGATCCCTGAGGGCGATGAGGCCTTGATAGCCCGGGTCGACGCCCGCTTCCAGGTCTCTGAGGCACTGCCAGGGATTCACGTCCCAGTGCGGTTTCAGCCCGACCCTCCACCTCGGGCGATCCTTGGCCCCGCGCGCCACCCCCCACTTGTCCACGGAGACGTGCAGCCGCGACTCTCCCCAGATGCCGCGGAAGGCCTGGTAGACGTTTGCAGAACAACGGTTGGCGAAGGCCTGCCTGTGCAAGGCCACGTCATCCACCAAGAACTTGCAGGATGAAGGCCAATTCCTGTCGAACCACGTCGAGTCGTCCTCAACTGCCACGGGCGGGCCTTCGATGCCCTTCTGCACGCGCAAGGCGTTGATCTCCTCGAACATCGCCACGACGCTCGCCTCGCACTGCTCCTTCGAGAGGGCCTTCACAACACAAAACCCGTACTTCTCCAAGGCTTGGGAGATCCCCTCGGAGTCGCTTGCCTCGAAGCTCTTCAGGAAGCCGTGGCCATCGGGGGATTCGCTTGGGTACCGCGGGAAGAGCGCCTCCCACTCAGCCGGGCTGCGAAGCCGCTGTGGTGGGCCCTCCTGGCGCAAGAGCTCCAAGTGGCTGTGGCGCACGAAGGACCGGAGCTCGGCGTCCTTCCGTTCACCGCAACGGTCCTTTGGGGGGGCTGAGAGTGTCTTAAGATTGAGTTCCCGAAGTATTCGTTTCGAGTAGATTCGGACCCGAAACCCTTTAAGACAGACTCTTGCTTTCGTCTCCAAGGCTCGGGGAGGTGGCTCTTCAAGGCCTCCTGGCACGCCCGGTATACATCCTCCGGCACCTCTTCGCCAGGATGCTCGGCCATCCACTGGCGCAAGAAAGTCTTCGCAGCCAGCTGGGCAGCCACCCATCCCTCCCTCCGCCGGGCCTTCTGAGCCTCCACACTCTCAGCCGGGGCCCCGGCTTCCCCAGAGAACTCATGGCCAGGCACGAAGAGGCGCAGGCCCTCGAGGCAGCTTAGGCAGGCCATGGTCAGAAGGACATGCGGCTGCGGCGGGCTCAAGCTTGAAAGCCTCCAAGGCTCCATCAACCTAAACACTGCACCCCCACATGGCTGTTGCCGCACACAGGGGTACCCTTTTTTGCTGGGTCCCTTTAAGGGATTCTATTCTATTCGGGGTATAATCAGAAGTATACCGCTATTTTGGCAAATACCCACATGCCAGGGCGACTGCAGCGCGAGGAGGCCCAGCGGGCAGCGCTGGAAGTCCTGGAGTTCCGCAAGCATTGCAGCGTTGGCCCCGTGGTTCTTGGGAACGAGATGAGGGAATGAGGGCCCTACATATATTTATATATATATATATATACCCTTCAAGGGATTCTAGAGCGCCCGCATTCCCTACTAAGAACCAGCCAAGTAGGGGGTCTTGAAGTTTGGGAAACTTGCGGTACCCACTTCTCCACTGTAGCAGCACTCACACGACTCACCCCCCTCAAAGCCTACAATAGGACCCCCGAGGAGTCAGTAGAAACAGCAAACGACAAGGCCGCAGTCCAGATCCCTGGCGTCCTCCTGTGTCAGGCCTGCGGAGAGGGTACCGACAGCGCGAGGCGCATCCCACCTTTGAATGCAATTCGGGTTTAGGGTTTAGGGTTTTTGGGTTTAGGGTTTAGGGTTTAGGGTTTAGCGTTTAGGGTTTAGGGTTTAGGGTTTAGGGTTTAGGGTTTAGGGTTTTAGGGTTTAGGGTTTAGGGTTTAGGGTTTATGGTTTAGGGTTTAGGGTTTAGGGTTTTAGGGTTTAGGGCTTAGGGTTTAGGGTTTAGGGTTTAGGGTTTGGGGGTTCAGGGTTCTTCGTTCAGGGATTAAGGTTTAGCTAGGATCTAGGGTCAACACGGTTCTACTGAAAGACAAGGTCTAGGCGGCCTACCCTGAAACCGCTCAAGTGGGCCAATGCTGCAGAGAGGCCTGCGATGGTCGGAGATCTGCAGTAGGAGCCGGTACAGCTTCCTCTTCGCCTGACAGCACGTTCCTTCTTGAAGGTTTGGGGTTTGGGGTTGGGATGTTCCCCCTAATACTAACAGTCCTTAATAGGGATTCTCATAGGGGGTTCTGTAATCCTACTAGGGACTGCTAGTGTAAGGGGGAGCATCCCAAAGTTTGGGGGTTTTCTGGAGAGGACAATCAATCGGCTACCTGATGCAAATCGACCAAGCACCTCCATCCACTTCTCATCGTGTTCACACGTAGTGTGGCCTCCGACCCCAAAACAAGTTGTGCTGCGCGAGGGATTGACATGTTGGGTATCGGCTATCGGCGACAAAACAACTCTCAACACGCAACGCCTTGAAACTCCATTCCGAGCCACGGGCCAAGAAACTCGCTCGCCTTCAGCAGATCACACTTCTTTACTTTGACGACTTTTGTCTGTTGGTGAGCCTGTCAAAGACCCTAAGCCCTTGCACGAAGCAGTCACGTGGTGATCTAATACGGCTTCGGCCTACCCGCATGAAACCCATTGTTCTTGTGCAACAGAAGCAGCTGGAGCGTGAAATCCTTCTTGGCTGTAACCTCATCCTCACTCAAGATGCACCTTTCTCCGAGATCTGGAGACTTCTTGCCTCCTCCCTAAACCCTAAACCCTAAACCCCAAAAAACCAAAAACCCAAACACCCAAGAACCCAAAAAAACAAAAATCCAGCAAGCATTGTCCAAGCTCCTGGCCGCAGTGGGGCTGGCAACGGCTGCCGGGCCTAGGAAGCAAAAAAACCCAGAGAGGCCAGCGCCCCAACAGTCAAGCCAATTTCGGGCTTCGGGTTTAGGATACTCGGTAGCCCTAAACCCTAAACCCTAAACCCTAAACCCTGAACCCTAAACCCTAAACCCTAAACAACGGTGTACTCCTCAACCAACGCACGTTGCACTCCCTGGGAACAACTTGGCCCTTTCGGCCCTGCAGCTGGACCCACAACTCCAATGCCCTAGGCCGCCAAGAACACCCGAAACAGGATTTAGGTTTAGGGTTTAGGGTTTAGGGTTTAGGGTTTCGGGTTTCGGGTTTCGGGTTTCGGGTTTCGGGTCCCTAGTTACTCAAAACCGAGCCTTGAAAACAGGCCACTTTACCGACTCCTTGAACTAGGGTTGGAAGTGATACTCGGGGTTCAGAAGAGACCATGACTCCGGGATCCGAAGAGACCATGGTTGAAAGAGGGTTTAGGGCTTTATAGAGTTTAGGGTTCAGGGTTGGTAAAAACCGGGTCATGGCGCCATCTTCTTCACAGGGTTAGGTCACCAGCAAAAACTAAGGTTTTAAGGGTCCCGAAACACGACAACCTTGCGATTCAAGGATCGTATGTTTCTTGTATCTATCTTCGTTGGGATGTTCCCCCCTTATACTAACCATCCTTAACAGGGATGATAGTACCCCCTATGAAAATCTCGATTAAGCACTGTTATAGTAGAAGAACATCCCAAGATCTACGAATTACTGTCTGGGCCGGGGCTTTAGAAGGACTAGGGCTTTAGAAGGACTAGGGTTTGGGTCTTTCAGGAAGTTGCTTGGGCCGACAGCACCTGGCCCTCTCGCCCCCTTCTACGTCTGGGCGTGGCGTGTGGGCATAGGTCAAAGTTGAGGGCATACCTCTAATCGCCTGGCAGCCCTTTATCTAGCCTCTTCTTGCCTTGGCATGAGTCCTTTTTTAGTGTGTGGGAGCATAAATGGGCCAACGCTCTGCCTCACTGAGGCTGGGACTGTGCAGGTATGCCAGCAGCACCCATGTGCAGAAGATCATCTACACCGAAACCCTTAGTAATACACTACACCCATACCCGAAATCTCGTTGTCAACATACCCGGCCACAGATTCACCGATGTCAGCAAGGGATGCAAGAAACTTGCGCTGGATTTTCTTAATTTTATTAAACCAGCTGCCTCTTGACAAGGGCGAGCACATTCAGCATTCAAAAGCAGTTGCATGTCGTCTGAAATGCACCCGAGCGACCGCTGGCTTTTTACTGTAGGGTTGATGGTGCGCACTACTGCACCGATACTTTTTCGTTCTCAGGGCGTTGCATCATCAATGGGCAGGTGCTGCATTTCGCGCTTCCAGCACGATGCAACACAAACACGACAAGGCTGCCTGAGGAAGAGCAAGGGCGAAACCTCCCACTTAAGCGAGGTCGCGTCTACACTTAACCTGCGGACAGCTGGCACAAGTCGGGTACTGTGTGCTTACTTCAACAAGAACAAAGATTCGTTGCTCAGTCGATCCCCTTGTGATTGCCTGGTCCGCCTAGAGAACGAAACAACCTTTCCGCTTCGCGGGAGGCTGTTCAATACGCTGAAACAGCGTCAAGAGCGCACTTTCAAACACACTGAAGAAGATTATGCAAAAGGGCAGCGGCTGTCCTGCCACCGCCGGGAAGTACCCGAACGCACAAGCGCTTGAAGCCCTCGAAGCTACAAATTTGTGAGGTCAGCCATGTTTAGCTGACTCTCTGCGCTTGGGAGGATGGCTACCCAAGTTCTCCATCAGCTGACACATGTACCGCACTTTCAAACTCATTGCCATGATGTCACCTTGGACGAGGGTTCCTAGCTGAGTTGTAGGTTTACAGCAAGTTATGGGCCTCTGCACTGTGTCTACTACTGCAGTGCCTTCTCTTCGGCGTTTGACTGGAGGTGACTGGAGTCTGCCAGGCTTCTTGCCTTCTAAGCCGAAGCCCTAAGCCCTACACCCCACACGACAGAAACCCTGCTCAGAGCTCTCATATCTGAACAAAGACATCAGGTAGCGGATCCCTAAACCCTAAACCCTAAACCCTAAACCCTAAACCCTAAACCCTAAACCCTAAACCCTAAACCCTAAACCCTAAACCCTAAACCCTAAACCCTAACCCTAAACCCTAAACCCTAAACTTCACCAAGTCGCCTTTGGTCACATCTCCACGCATGCTCATGAGCCCCGAGATGAGCTCATCTATACTCAAGAGCCCGCCGGAATCCGCGTCCAGGATGTCGAAGAGCTGTGCACCTCAAAAAAGGGTTTAGGGTTTAGGGTTTAGGGTTTTGGGTTTTGGGTTTTGGGGTTTAGGGTTTAGGGTTTAGGGTTTAGGGTTTAGGGTTTAGGGTTTAGGGTTTAGGGTTTAGGGAGGGGGGCGAAATCTGATGCAATCAGTTGCCAGGAACTCTTGCAACAGAAAAACGCCCTGCCACCCCTGAGGCAACGGCGAATGGAGGTGTCTATGAAAGCCCCCTCGAGGACTTCAGTGAAGTCTTCGTGGTCAAGCCAAGTCAAGAACCTGTCGCGCGACCTGCCAGGAAGCCCTAAACCCCTAATACCCGAGCACCCACCTCCTAACAAGATGCACAAAAATGATTAAAAGAAACATCGCAAACCCTCTACACCTCAACCCTGAGCGTTTCATGACCTGTTTCTTTGCAATGCACCGAAGCCTGATATCCCTTGGGGTGGGTTGAGGTTGTAGGTTGCGAGGCCGTCAACCTCTGAGCTCAAGGGTTCTGGAGCGCCTCGAACGCCAATCTTTCTATCATTTCCGTCGCTCATATGTGCAAGGCACTCACTCAGAAGCTCTCCTACTATAATGCCCATAACCCACCTTACTAACGCTACCTACTAAGTCACCTGGGCTTCTAAGCCGGGGCTGCTGTCGGAATGTCTTAGCATGTCTTAACAATTTTAAGCACTCTTGACATCGAAATCTGGTCATGATCTGCAGAAGCCGTTTTATGTTCTAAGGCTTAGGGATCAGGAACCCCTCCTAAACACTTTGGCCACACGAACCACAATCTGAGGTATGCGCACTGTCACAGAAGCTTTCGATAATGCTCTCTCCAAGACCTGCGCAGCACGACGCTCCACAGAGCAACCGCAGGGAATCGGGACTTTTTCGGAAACCAGAAGGACATTCTTCATGATTCGGCGGGGGGTACTCCCAAAGGCACCGTCCTATACTTGAACGGGAATACGTGTAACAAGAAAGCACGAACAAACCCAGCCCTATCTGGACCCTAAACCGCTTCTGGTTTCGAAGGGCTGCAGAGGCTTTCCCCTTAAGTTTGGGCATGATCCGAGTACGGGCCGAGGCGCAGGGTTTCGGGTTTAGGTTCTCTGCCTGAGGGATCCGGGTTTAAGAGTTAAGGGTTTAGGGTTTCGGGTTTAGCGTTTAGGGTTTAGGGTTTAAGGTATAGGGAGCGGTCTGCCTTAGACTGACTCCTCATATCCAGCTTGTCGATGTCCTGCTCGATGATGTCACAGCCGTCCTCCTCACCTCAGGAACTCTAAAGGAAGTTCCCACAATAGGGTTTAGGCTTTAGGGTTGAGGGTTGAGGGTTTAGGGTTTAGGGCTTAGGGTTTCGGGTTTAGGGTTTTGGGTTTAGGGTTTAGGGTTTATAAACCCAAACCCTAACCTAAGCAAAAAAACATTTTGAGCCCCAGTCCAGTTCGGCGTAAAGTCAACAGTCTAGCTAGGATACGAGGAGATGCTTCAGCCATGCTCAATGCCACAAGTAGACCCCAAGCCCTAAACCTAAACCCAGATTCCTGAGCATCCTGAACTACAGCCCTGCACGCTACATGGGGGTTTAGGACATCACACCGAGGGCTTCTGTAAGATTATGGGCCCATGTGGTTTAGGGTTTAGGGTTTAGGGTTTAGGGTTTAGGGTTTAGGGTTTAGGGTTTAGGGTTTAGGGTTTAGGGTTTAGGGTTTAGGGTTTAGGGTTTGGGGTTTAGGGTTTAGGGTTTAGGGTTTAGGGTTTAGACAAGGGGGGGGGTGCAGCTGACGAAGATGACAACATGAACACGATCGTGCAGGTACCATCAGCACCTCAAAAAGAGACCAACGTGCAGAGAACTGCCCCATGTGGAAACCACCCCTACAACCCCTAACCCCTCAGCCCTAAGCCCTAAACCCTAAACCCGAAACCCGAAACCCTAAACCCTAAACCCTCTGCTTGGAAGCGCCACGCACACACACTAAGCTAGGGGCTGATGATTTGAGCCACCACGCGCCTTGGCGGAAGAGCAGCAGGAGAGATTTGGGGTTTGGGGTTTGGGGTTTGGGGTTTGGGGTTTAGGGTTTAGGGTTTGGGGTTTAAGGTTTAGGGTTTAGGGTTTGGGGTTTAGGGTTTAGGGGTTTAGGGGTTTAGGGTTTGGGGTTTAGGGGTTTAGGGGTTTAGGGGTTTAGGGGTTCAGGTGCTTAGGGCTCCGCCATGGAGCCTGAACTCTATCAGGGGGGCGCCAACGCCTAAACATCCTCAGGCCTCCGAAGTTCCAGCAAAGTCTAAGCCCCTTGGACCCCCTAAACTTGAAGCCTCCTAAACCGCCTAAAACCCCCCTAAAACCCCAAGCCAAACCCCTTAAACCCTAAACCACCTAAACCCCCTAAACCCCCTAAACGCCCCTAAACCCCCTAAACCCCCCTAAACCCCCTAAACCCCCCTAGACCCTAAACCCTAAACTCTAAACCTCAACCTTTCAGATCCAAGCAGCTTTATGTTCACTTCGGCTTTCAGAGCGGTCTCCGAGATCTCCTTCTGCTTGCGGATGTTCTGCTGGCTCACGACCTTTTCGGGGCTGGGGGGGTTTCGGGGGTTTCGGGGGTTTCGGGGGTTTCGGGGTTTATGGGGTTAAGGGCCTTTAGGGGGTTCAGGGGGTTTTGGGGTGTTGGGGGGGGTTTTAGGGTTTAGGGTTGAGGGTCTTGGGACCAGGGGATTCAGGTAGTTCAGGGGGTTCAGGGGGTCCGGGGCATCCCGGGATTCAAGGCTGCGTCCGGGTTCTTGGATTTGGGGCTTCGGAGCTTTTGAACAGGTAACAAAAGCGAAAGAAGGGTGTCCGCGTCTTTTCAGGATGACGACCTTCTTTGTTGATAGTTGGGGTGTAGGCTTCAGGGCCTAAGGGGGTTGCCCCTAAGCCGAAAAGGAAACCAAAAGAACAACCCAAGCTCTGGGCATTGTCGAGGAAAATCGCCATGATGAGGTTGAAAACGCCGACCTTTGGTGCCAAAGTTGCACGTGGCTTCGGGATCGGGTCTTGGAACTTGGGCTTCGGGATCAACCCTGAAGGCCAACATTTTTCAAAAAGAAAACAACATCCTACAAGAGATTCCTGCAGCCCGCAACTACCTCTAGTGGCTGAGTAGGATCCGGAATTGTGAACCTGGCGCCTTTTGGGTGCTAAAGTACGGAGAATTTAGGAGAGCCGCCGAAACCAACATGAAGACCAGGATGTAGCAGATCATGATCACTCCTGCACAGGGTTTAGGCTAGAGACGAAAGCTTTGAATTTGAGGTTTATAATGTTGGGGAAGAAGCAGCTGTTGATCAGCGCGCTGCCTGACCAGTCTCGGAAAGTCTCAATGCGAAGCGTCTCGGTGAGAGGCCTGCCGTCGTAGCCTGCACCTTAACACGCGTACGGAACAGTACCCTGCACATCAATGCGCGCAAGCCGACGTGGGTATAACGAACCCACGTCAACCTCACGTGCTTGAAGCAGAAGCTGCAGCACCAGCAGCAGCAGCAGCAGCAGCAGCAGCAGCAGCAGCAGCAGCAGCAGCACCAGCAGCACCAGCATCCCAGCATCCCAGCATCCCAGCATCCCAGCATCCCAGCATCCCAGCATCCCAGCATCCCAGCATCCCAGCATCCCAGCATCCCAGCATCCCAGCATCCCAGCATCCCAGCATCCCAGCATCCCAGCATCCCAGCATCCCAGCATCCCAGCATCCCAGCACCAGCACCAGCACGAGCATCCCAGCACTACCACCAACTTGGGGGGGAGACACGACCAAGTGCTTGCATACAACTCAGCCACCGACAGCCTTCGGTGAGGCATCCTTGGCACAGTGATGCGATGAACGCTACCCTAAGCCACACCTGGGACACCATTTACCTTCAGTGTTAAGGGTACCTACGAAACAGGGGGTATATTTACCTTCAGTTTTTAAGGGTACCTACGAAATAGGGGGTACTTCCTAATCATCTGTAGGTAAGTAGGGTCCCAGGTGCACGTGCCAATCCTGGGCGAACCATACTTGAAGTGCGTCTGAAAGGGCACCCCCCACCCTAAACCCTAAACCCTAAGCCTCCCTTTCGGGGGCTGGCAAGCGGAGTCTGCCATAGAGGCCTGTTGAGGAGTCACTCTGCCACGGAGATGCTGTTGACAGTCACTTTGCACATCACAGCACTGATTTCGATCTGATTGGCGGTTTAGGGTTTAGAGTTTAGGGTTTAGGGCTTAGGGTTTAGGGTTTAGGGTTTAGGGTTTAGGGTTGCGGGGGCTGGAGGCTTGGAGGCGTTCACCATTCGTCCATGCACCGAGCGGCGAAATATCGTGAACATGCTCGATTGCAAGGTGGCAAACTCGACCTGCACGGCTGTCCAACCCAGAACTGTCCGAACTTGCTTGTGGGCCCGCTGGGCGGGGGTTCACACAGCCTGATGAGAAAAATCCTGCCCTAAACCCTAAACCCTAACCCTAAACCCGTAATCCGGTCCTTTAAGACGGCACCACCCTCCCCCCCTTGAGGACTGGCTCATGCAGGCGGCCTGATCCTGGCCTGCGATGGTTGCCATGCCGATTCCAAACACGTAGATCAGCACAAACAGGAGGACCTCAGCATGCAAGACTGCAAGATAGACGGAATGGCTGGTTTTTGCCCAGGGTTTGCACTGCAGTCCCTTCCCTTACTTCCGCAGCACCGAGATCCCGACTCCTAAATCCCAAAACCCGAAGACCCTTGCAGAGGGGGGGAGTCGTAGGCCATCTGGGATCCGGGCGATGGCCCAGAAGAGAACCCTCAGCCCCGAGAAGACACCCAGGATGATCCTCGGATTCGGTGTGGGGTTTGGGTGGGGTCTGTAGGAGTAAGGAGCAGCTCCAGAGCTTCAGTTGCTGAAGCCCTAAACTGTAAACCCTGAACCCTGAACCCTGAACCCTAAACCCTAAACGCTAAACCCTAAAGCCTAAACCCTATTGGCTGCAGGGTTTTGTGATTGGGCTCCGGTCCGGGTCTGGTAGATTCCTTTCTTTGGGTTAGGCTTAGGATGTAGGGTTTAGGGTTGAGGGTTTTGGGTTTTGGGGTTTGGGGTTTAGGGTTTAGGGTTTAGGGCTGTGAGGGAAAAGTTGTTGACGGGTTGGGCTTTGGCTTCAGGGCTTTAGGGCTCAAAGTTTAGGATGCTAAGAGACCTGGGGCTTTAGGCTCGATTGGGATTTAGGTCGTGGTGTTCAGGGCTTTGGAAATTGAATACCCTAAACTCTAAACCCTGAAACCCTCGGCAATCCCAAATCCTAAACCCTAAACCCAGGAGTCCTAAACCCTAAACCCTAAACCCTAAACCCTAACTAAACCCGAAACCCTAAACCTGCGAGCGTCAGGCGCAGCTCATTGAAGAACTCATAGTGCAGCGTGCGGACCAATCGGAGCAATCTCGCCAAACGGAGTACCTCGCGAACGGTTTGCGACTTGCCATGAGGTTTCGGGTATAGGTGCAGGGTTTAGGGTTTAGGTTTAAGGTTTAGGGTTTAGGGTTTAGGGTTTAGGGTTTAGGGTTTAGGGTTTAGGGTTTAGGGTTTAGGGTTTAGGGTTTAGGGTTTAGGGTTTAGGGTTTAGGGTTTAGGGTTTAGGGTTTAGGGTTTAGGGCCACCCACACCCTAAACCTTCATCCCTAAAACAGCTGCCTTGATCAACGACGCGGAGTTCATGGAGAAGTTGATGGCTTCCGCCAAGAGCAGAAAAAATAATAGGGAGTCCGTGAAGGAAAGGAGCAGGCAGAAGAAGTCGAAGCTGTTCCACCTCCCGCAGGACATTTGGGGGTCATGGCAGAAATTGGGGCTCTTCATGTACGGAACTCTTGTCTCTTTCTTTCCACTGAACAGCTTGGGCCATCTGAGAGGAGCGCTTCCAGTCGGGCCCCCGGAAGTAGCCCCTGATCCCCTGCATACGCGTTTTGTGGATAAACTCCATGAGGTAGCACAGGGCCTCGTGAGAAGGCACGCCGAGGAGAGCAATGACGCGCTGCATGGGACATAAATGCTTTAAGCAATATCAGGTGGGATGTTCCTCCTTATACTAACAGTCCTGAACAAGGATTCTAACAGGGGATACGATCATCCTTACTAAGGACTGTGAGTATAAGGGGGAACATCCCAAAATAGCAGCATGTGCCTGGAAAAAAGAACATCCTTGCATGATACGAAAAGGAATGGCACCGCAAAGTGCGACCAGGTGGGGGCTTTCCGAAATAAGGGTGGGGTCCTTCATTAGAAGGGAATGCCGCTATTTGGCGGGTCCATATTAGGGCCCCCGTATCAAATGCTGGGACACTAAACCCTAAACCCTGAACCCTAAACCCCTTTGTATTGCTGGACCACGAAGTTCAAACAGGAGGAGTCGCGCTTAAGCAGGACACCAGTGCACAAACCCTAAACCCTGAACCCTGAACCCTAAACCCTAAACCCTAAACCCTAAACCAGGGCACGAACATGAGCTCCAGGATGCCCCAGAAGGGATGCTCGGGATGGTTGTCCACAGCCACCCCCATTGCCAAGGTATTCAACCTTGGGGAGGCCAACTTTCAGGGTTTAGGGTTTAGGGCTAGGGTTTCGGGTTTAGGGGTTAAGGTGTAGAGTTTAGGGTTTAGGGTTTAGGGTTTAGGGTTTAGGGTTTAGGGTTTAGGGTTTAGGGTTTAGGGTTTAGGGTTTAGGGTTTAGGGTTTAGGGTTTAGGGTCTAGGGTCTAGGGTTTAGGGCTTAGGGTTTAGGGTTTAGGGCAGACTGCCCCCAAGAGAGATGCGAGCCGAACTAGGCGAGCACACTGCTTCAGCTTAGCCCGGCTGCACGATCACCAATGCAGGTGCGGTCTGTGTGAGGAACATCCACCTTGGTAGCCCAGCAACCATATTGCAATAAGGATTTCGGGGTTTAGGGTTTAGGGTTTAGGGTTTAGGGTTTAGGGTTTAGGGTTTATTGTTTAGGGTTTAGGGACATTACAATAACGGCACCCTCTTTGGGGCTAGAACCCAGAACAAGGGCAAAGGGTACCACTGGGCTACCAAATGCTACCAAGCCACATATTTTCCTTCGTGAACACATTGAGCACCCGCTCCACTCCTGACAGCAAAAAGTGGTCATTTCAACATCTGTCAACCAATGAGCATGACATCAAACACCGACATCCGACACACGGCCGCGATGGCGATCGTGAACGCAGGAAGACGATTCTTTTGGACGTGACTTCGTGGGGCAGGTGAAAACGATGGATTCCATGGACTGTCCGACCTTAGCCCTGCGAAGTCACAACGCAGACTGAAATCTACGCTAACGGCCCGCCAAAGGTCCAGAATCGGCTCGCATGACCAGCGTCCCGCGCGTCTTGCTGTCAGACGAACCGGGGCGCGTCATTTTCTCAGCGGGCTCGTGGACCTTCTTTGGGAAGGCTTCGGCGAACTCCAGCTCCAAATTCTCCGGGGGAAGGTCTTCGCGGAGCGCTACCGACAGCAAGCTCGGTGTTGCTTTCGGCATGTCGCTCCGGGAGTTGGCCAACTCCGTCGAGGGAGTCAACTCCAGCCTTTCCCTGAGACTCGCATTCCTGGGTTGGTTCTGTACAGCTTGTGAAAACATGTAATTTTTAGGGCCACCCCTGTTGTAAATCCAAAGAAAGGAAAATACAAGCTAGATCCCCAAAATGCCAACTTAGATTCTCTTTCTCCAGCTCGAGCTTGACACTCAAGACTGTGGCCATGGTCGTCTGCAACCTGCGAAAATCCTCCAACATATGCTCCATGTGCATGTCGACTTCCCCGCGCAACCTGTCCTCAGCAGACAAGAACCAAAAAACAAGAAGCTTTTTGGAGTTCGATGACGATAGCCACGCAGCTCAAGAAGCAACGAGAAACCTCTCACAGACAGGGCGCGCGATACCCTTCATTGCTCAGCGCGATCGGTGGCATTGGCATTGCAAGCGCTGTACGCTACTTATGTCAAGTGTACCTGCCTTCCGCGGTCAAACTTGCTCTGACAGTGTACTTTTGGGTCAGACGGCACAAAAACTTCGTGAACAGCGAGTGCCCGCAGCGGCACTGTGGAATTCTGCACCCTGTCTGAGTGACGAAACAGTTGCGGCAACATGGCCATCGGGACCAGCAGAATGAATGATCAACATGGTTTTCCGGCCGGAGGCCCGTGTTCCAACATGAAACCCGAAACCCGGGGCAGATGATCGAAAGATCGACTGATAGGATGCACCTGTCTTTTCCAGCGTCCAGAACTGCCGAGTCATGGTTTCATCACGTTTGTGACAACAGCTTGTCGACGTTTGTCGACGCTGATAAATCCTAAGCATGTGAAACCTTTCATGCCGAGAGAAGATGGGAATGAAAGGCATGGCCAACAGCCACAATGCGCATGCCTACATGGAAAAGTGCTCAGCAGAAAGCTCGACATCTAGAGGGTTCTCCATGTCCTGAAGGTATTGTTTTGCGGCCTCTCCCTCGTCACATGCGTCTGTCGCTGGCAGAGCTGGCGCGCTCGTCTCATCCTCCGGCGTCTCCGACCCCATGCAGGCACGTGCGATCCTTGAAAGGAGAGCAAGCAAGCATGGCAAGCCGACGAGCGCAAAGAAGCCACCCACGAGAGTGATGACGACCGACAAGAGTGCGAAGATCCGGAAGGCCTGGGCGGTGCCGAAACCCAGCATGGCGACGCCGAGGAAGGCTGTGGAACATCCCTGCATCACGTCGAAGCTGACGGCCTCGAGCGAGTGGCGCATGCGCTTGTCCCAAGGTGTCCCCGGCGGCACGCCGTGATGGGCGAAGTGCACGATGTGGCAGCTGTAGTCGACACAAAAGCCGATCGCCATGACGCAGACACTGTACGAGATAACATTGCAAGTGATGTTGCAGGCCCACATGAAGCCGAACAAGACACATGTCACCGCCATGACATTCCCGACCGCCAGGAATGCCAGGTGAACGGGCATGGTGATGATCACAGCCACGAACACGCCAATGAAGGCAAAGCCCGCTGTGCTGAAGGTCTTGTCTTTGATGACACGATAGCGTGCTGTTTGCGTCGGGAAGCTCAGGTGGTATGGGACGGCATTCACCTCGGGGAATTCGCCCTTCACCTGCCTGAAGATGTCTTGTGCTTGCTCACTGCGCTTGTCCGCGTCTGAAGGCTGCCACAGCACTACGCGGCACCGAGCTGCTTGCAGGTGGTCGGTGATGCCGCCGCGGGCATCCCGTGCACTGATGGATCCTGTCGTCGTGTCATTCAGATACGTGAGAATTGCAGTGTCTACCTCACACATTGAGGCTGAACTGCTCAAGGAGCCGACGGCACGATGGAGCCAGCAATCAACTGGCAATGCCAGGTCAGACCGGTTGTTCAGCGCCGCAATCAAGTCGGACATGCGGTTGCGGTACGATGCCTTCAGGACTTTCGGCTCATCGAAAAGCAAGTTCAGCTCCATGGGCACACTGCCGACAAAGGAGCTGCTGACATCCTCCAAGTATGCGTGCACCTTCGAGGAGTCGGTCACGAAGTACGTGTCTGGCATGCCTCGCCCCGTCTGCAGGCCGAAATGGATGCCCAGGATGGTAAGCACCAACCAAACAGAGGCACCGCAGATCTGGAATGGCAGGTTGCGTTCCACGGCACGGCCCAGCCGGGCATTCATGACACCTCGGAGCTTCCGTCCGCCTCCCATGACAAACCTCGCTTTGGTGGCGAAGCCGCCTTCGGGCTCCGGGCGCGCGGTCATGTTGCGCTGGCTTAGGATGATCATGGCAGGGAACATGATCAGCATGCCCATCCAGTTCAAGAGCAGAACCATGACCAGGCCCACATTGAATGAGAAGAAACTCGGAAGGTCGGTGCTGGTGACGGCAGCAATAAGAAAGGCAGAAACTGACGTCAAGGTCGTGGTGGTTGCTGCAGCTCCAGCGCGGGGAAGAGCCCTGACCATGACTTCCTCCATGTCCTTCACGTGAGGCCCCACTGAGTTGACAGAGGACACCAGCAAGAAGATGATATCAACACCGACAGCAAGGCCTAAGAATGGCACCAGGGTTCCTAAGATGCTCACACCTTGCCCCATGTATCCCAAAACACCAAAGCTGGCCATCCCAGACAGTCCCGGAATGCAAGAGGCTCCCACCAGGAGCTTCACCTGCGAGTTGCCGGGAATCCGGGTGTCGGTGCCCAGCATCAGCACCACGTAGCCTGCCATGAGGCAGAGGGTGAGGCCGATGAGGGGAACGTTGTCCATGCCGATCTGCACGCTCTCCATGGCAATCGTGGAGGAGCTGAACTGGTTAATTCTCACCAGGGCATTCTCGGGGTAGCCATTCCCGTTGATGTCCCTGGCAGCCTGCTTTTCGAAGAGAACGCCGTCATCTGTGTCCATTACTGTGAAAGTGGACATGGCGGCAGTGCTGGCCGAGAGCCACTGGCTTAGAGACAACTCGCCTAGACTGAACTTGGATACCCGGCAGCCCTAGCAAAGTTAACATTTTTTGGTTGTTTCTTAGGAATTGAAGGACTCGAAAAACAAAATTGTTTGCAAATATCCCTAAGTCGCTAGCACCAAGCCCTGGAAAAGGGAGCGGCGAAGCAACGAGAAGCGGCAAAGTTGCCCGTTGCTGCACACTCATGGCGGCAACCACCAAGGCAGCTGCAGCATTGGCCGGTGTGCTCACATTCTGCTCCAGCACTTCGAGCTCGGACAAGCGCACCGCAACGTCGTCTCCGAGGAGCGTGGCGATCACACTCCCTGCCATGCAGGGCGATCCCGAGCTCAGCCTCTCACAAACGTCACTAAAGCCCAACTGATGTCGATCCACCGACTCAAAGCGAGTCGTGTCGTGGATCTGCACTTCCGCCCTGTGTATCTGCCGGAGCACCTCTGATGAGACAAGGCTGCGCCCGCCTAGTGGCTTGGCAATGAAGACGAGGCTCCTAGTGTCTGGGAAGACATCGGTCCCACGCTTGTAGTCCTGGTACTCGTCGGTTGCCGTGAATGAAAATGCTTCTAAGAAGCCCGTCATGATTTTGATGAAGCCAAACATGTTCTCTGAACCATTCAATAGCGCCATTCCCGGGACACATGCCAGATAGACTGCCAGCGACAGCACAATGCACAAAATCGGGAGTCGCGCGATCACTCGAGCGAGGCGGCTGAACAACTTGTCTTGCGCATGGCCAACAACGGTCGAGGCAACGGACAGGGTTCGCTCGATCTGAAGGGCTCGGTTTGACCGAGACCGCGACGGAGACACTGAAGAAATCGGCGTCTCATCCATGGCGAAGGCAACAGGGCCCAACAGCACCTCCACCTCCTGGGTCCTTGATCAAGTGGATGACACGCAAGAAAATCAAGCAACCAAACGGAGGCAGACTTGACCAATGGGGCTGTGCCTCATTGCGCATTCCACATTTCAAGGCTATCAGAAGCAAATCTTAAGGGAAAATATGAAGGATCCACTTTGATTTACCACCATGTACAACATCAATCCATTACCATGCGTCGCCACCAGGGCTCAGGACTGCAAACCAACGGAATTCTAAGGCAATAATTTCGAAGAGCATGCAAAGATCTCGTGCTTAGCCAAAAAATTTAAGACGATAAAGACTTCTGCGGAGCCGCACCTGCTTATCAGAGTGACTTCGTCGCACTCGGTTGAACAGCTCCTCACACCAACCAACCAACAAACCTACACTTCAAAGTGCCCAACGTGGCACCACACCTCTGCGCCCTCAAATATTTCGAGTTCCACAACGGTTCAAGGTTTTAGGGTTCAAGATACCCGAAACGGTAGGATATCAGAAATGTTGCATAAAGCCATCGCACAACTTGTGCTCACACAAGACAACTTAGAACCCAAAGCGACAAATTCCCAACTGTGTGTGCAATGGCCGCGTTCGACGCGACGAAACAAATCAATTGCGAATGCCAGTGCACGTGTCACATGCACGTACACGCTCGTGTCCGTTTTCTTCTCCAGCAAGTCAAGCAAAAGGCGGCTAACTGAGGCAACACGGCCCAGATTGCTCGGCCGGACGCGACCATTCCATAACCACTTGGGGCCCGCAAAGCAAACTCCCAAGCAGCTCGCTGCTTTAACACGTCTGGCCTTCACTGACAAGTTCGGATGGATTAGCATGACACAAAAATGTCAAAGTAGCTGCTGAGAGCAGCCGCACGCGCCACGAGTCTTGTTCATGCCGAAACCTTTATGATCAAACTCATCAGAAAACACCAAACGATGCGAGCAAATGACCCCACACGCAAGGATCATCCACGGCTACGGAACGGGAGTCCACCACGGCCACTTAGCCCCGAAAACCAACAAAATCGCAACACCCCTCTAGGATTTTGGGAAAGAGCAACAAGAAAATGACATCCTTTTGCTACACCTTCCCGGCTCCCGCGTTTTCGACCCACTGCGACACTTGTGCTGCACCCTCTTGGTAAAGTCGAGCTTTCAAAGAGGCATCGCCTGTAATTTCTACGATAATTGCGGGGTTCGTGAACCTGCGAAAAAAGTCGAAACTTTAGGTTCCTCCGGTCATTTGGAGTGGAAGGGAAGGGGTACGTCGCTGTGGTGGGGCGTTCTGGAAAAAGGGACATTGCGTTCATCTCTGTTTACTTGGAAACTGCAGTCGGCCTGACGAGGGTGTAACCCCACGGCCCTAGGAGACCTCTTAGCTTTTGTTAAAGGGCTTACCATTAAGTGCCCCAAGTTCTGGAAACTTCCCTTGAGTCCCTATTGCGAGGGGTTGTTGTGGCTTCAAAAGAGCCAACCAGCATGGGGGCAATGAGCTCGGCTAGAAGTTTGGACGGATTGGGGATGCACCCTTCAGACCGTGAGGTTTCGGCTACATGCGGGGGTTTTCCGGGCATGTCCGGCAGACCCGGACTTTCACCAGACCAGTGGATGAACACACTGAACCTTACTGAGCCTTACTGCAGCACTGGAGTAACTGTCGTTCCCCAGCTGCTGTTGGAGCCCACATGTGGATGTGGGATCGGCCCCATGCCCCGGCCATAAAAGAGAGATACTGGAGCAGCAACGGAAACTGCACCTCCAAAAGTCAAGAGCAAGCTGAAAAATGTGAGGCCTGGCTCCGAGCTTACGGTAAAGGGGGCCTCCGGCCCTGTTCAGGGCGATAAAGACGGGAGAGGTCACCGTTCAAAGGCCCTTTGGTGACCTTGCCCCTGACCCATGCCCGCCGAGCATGGTGGGCTGAAACGTGGGCTCCGGCCGGTTTGCATGGCACAACAGGGAGCACGCCTCGCCTGACGCTTCAAGAGGAAGACACCACCCATCTCGAGTGGAGAGTGGAAGACTCTCCTCTCCAAGGTACCAGCAAAGGCGCCAAGACCTGATGGGTGGTGTTACGAGATGCTCCGATCACTTACTGGTGAAGCCATTGCACAATTCGTTAGAAGTCAAAACAGCCTAAGGAACCCTACGCACTTATGGTCAGGGAATCAGGGAAACTACCCAGCCCTACAACCCACACAGGAGCAAGCAGCTACCACACCTTTTCACGCTCAAGTGAAAGACGTTTGTAGAAGCTCGTGGCCTTGAGCCTTGAGCCAGGCTCGTCTTGAGCCAGCTCATCTTGAGCCAAAGATCGGACGCGGCTTTAAACACTCACTGCAGGCTTCCAGGCATGCTGAGGAGGTCCTTCAGGTTCAAAGCAAGGCTATACCAAGTCACTTCAAATGCTTTCTAGCCCTACAAAACTCTCAGCAGACCTTCACTTCCAGTCAAACTACAGTTGCCTACACTTGCCTATGGGCAAAAGGCACTTCACCTCGAAGAGAAAACAGTTGTCCTACACACTTAGGCTTCGAAACGAAAGGACAACGTTCCAACGACAAACGAACGACTTTCATCACATCCCAAAAACTACGTACACGCACACCATACCTACCTTGAAGTTCAAATCACCCATCGAAACACGCTCACGCAACCCAGGTTTGGCTCTGCGGAACCGAGGTTCCGCAAGGTGAAACTTAGCACTAAAACTCTCTCATATGTCCCTGGCCTGCTAAACATGGCTGAACTATGTGCAGGGATCACCGAGAGAAGAAATAAGGGCTGAACCAGTTCCGCGAGAAGCTCAGCGGCCCAAAGGTACTGCTTCATCGGTTAAGAGTTGCGTGTGCAGGTCACTGGCCGTAGTCTACAAGAATCGCAGGAGTGCCACATCAGAGCCGAGTTTCACCTTTTCAATCGCCTTACCCTGACGAGATGGAAAGTCCGCCCATCAACCTTCGTGAGCCAGTCAAGGCATTGCCAAAAAGCCAAAGCAGAAAACGATGCCCTTGACCACGCCGCACGGTCCAGAGAGATCGCTTTGAGCCAGAAGAAGGTGAGAGACTCGGGCAGTGTTTGCTGCCACCTTGTCTCCTGGTGACAAGAAAGTCGTTACGACAGATAAGAGTTTCTAGACCGTCTGGGTAAGGGACGACGTGACAGACTTTTTGAAAAGCGGATGCCCCTTTACCACATCAGCAGCACAGTGGGCCGGTCTATTGCGACAAGGTGAGACGGTCAGACTCGGAGGAGCAACACAGCAAACAAAACAACACACCACACCCAAGAAAAAGCAAAGCAACAGCAATCGATCCTACGGTGCAACGGCTCTTTCTCGAAGAGGTCGAGGTAGACCAGCAGTGGCAGAATTCGTGCTGTGTTGAAAGAGCACAGAGTGCGGTTTGCAAAATGCTTTTTTGGACTGACACCTCTTTACTACATCAGTAGCACAGTAGACCGGTCTTGTTGGACTCGACGTAAAGGGTGAAACAAAGTCAGCGCATACGTGCGGTTCGCAAAATGCGAACTGTTTGCCAGATCAAAACCACCTTTCATGCTAATCCGGTTTTTCCCCTTGCCCAAGTCCTTTGCCGGAACGTACAAGCAGCACAAAGTGCTGATTCTGGCCAACGTCGACGACATCTTAATCACCTCGGAATGGAGAGGACCAGCTGGAAGACTGGAAGGCGCGAATTCGCAACTTCACGCCGCCCAGCCTCCGAGACATGTTACAAGGGAAGCAAGAATATAGCAGTTGCAGCCACTTACAAGAAAGTACTACCTGTTGTGCATCAAGTCTGCCAGGAACATCATGAATCCAGTAGTCACTGGCTTGCTTCCATCCACGCAACCCAAAACGGAAGATGCTTAATATGACGTTCCTGAAGAGTGTTTGCAGAGAGGCAAAGCCAGCTTAAGCAATGAGCAACTTGCAATCCAGCACTGTGCGCTGGTTCGAAATTCTTTACGCTTGTCCCACCCATTGTAGGCCTTGGATGCTGCGCTGTTATCGTCCATGCGAGCAGTTAATCTGATAAAAGAGGAATTATGTAACGCCCAAAGCAACGGATCCAGGCAAGACAGAAAAGAACAACAGGAATTTGCTCTTTCCATTGCAAGACCTTGATGGATGGAGATGAGCTTAAGCAGAAAGCCCTGGGTGCGGCGCCCAAACATTAGGTGGATCACAAAGGCCTTACCAATGGGCTCTTGCAGCCAAGCATTGTAGAACCCACCAGATTGCAATGTGCTTGGCTAAGGAAGTAACAGTTGGCGCAGCAATGCCAACATTCGCACAAGAATGTCTGTTCAACAGGGCACAAGCTTTCTGATCAAGGCAGCAACAAGTTGTGCCTCCAGAAAAAACAAGTGCATTTTTGTGATCTGGTGGCGGATGAGCTTAACCAACACAGTGATTCCTTACATCGATGCGTATGGGTGTTATAAACGTAAAGTCGGCAGGTGTTTGGAAGTCAGCAGACACCATGCTGTTGTTTTGCGTTGAAACAGTTATACACCCAATCCAGATTTGTGATAAAGCTTTGGACTTGGCTTATACTGGCAGTCGATGGGTGCTTCTGGGTTCTTTAGGAATTTGCAACATGTTTTATGAGGTAAAATGGTTGCAGAGTGCTTACAAATTTGGTAGGACAGGTTACTTTGGCAGCCGGAGCAGAATCAAAAAAAAAGCTGCCAAACAAGCCAATCTCCGGCGCTTCAGAGTTGGATCTGGAAATTCCACACAATATATAGGCCCGCTGGCGAGCCTCAAACGCTAGCAGTTCAAGTTGTGGCGCATTGCTGCCAAGTCTTGCTTCTAGGTCAATGAATTGCAGACTAGAGAGCTTTAGTGTCATGTTCTTGACATTGCACGAAAATGGACATAGGGTTTCTGTGCGGCTTAAGGTTTGACAAAGGGAGAAATTGTAACTCCAGCCTTCTTTTCAAAGAATTTGCGGGGGCGCAACACTAGG